ATTAAAGCAAATAAAAGTAAACAACATAACAATGACAATATAAAATAGCAATTAAATAATAATATATATTACTATTATTATTACTACATGTATCCTTGTCCTTTAATTACCATATATTAAAAGCTCTATTACCTCAATAGATTTGCTGGCTTTTCTGTTGAACATTAAAAAGTGTGGGGTAAATTTAGTGCTGAAATTCAAATTAAATTCATTTTGAATTGCACATACCCACTTTACATATACATGTGTATTTATGTTCATATCTATCTGCATACCTCTGATTATTAATAGCAACCAGTACACATATACATCTTATGTAAAACTCTGTTCATATTTAATACAACCTGTATATAATGTTCATAGTACATCCATCTGTAAATATCACCATGTTTTTGTAGAATGGAATTTTATAACATATACCTATATCCTGCACTTGCTTCTGTTGCACTCCTGGTTTGAGCTGGTTTGTCGCCTTGTGCTTGTACATGTGTAATGACAATAAAGTTTCCTCTGATTCAATTTAATTTAATGTAATCTTAATCTTTTGATTATTATTATTATTATTATTATCATTTTATTATTATTATTATTATTATTATTATTATTATTATTATATAAAGTATATATGTACAGTTCAGTAAATGTATAATGGAATTACTTTATGGATGTTTATATTTTTAAAAGTCAAAGAATATATCAACATTTATTTTAAGATTTTTTTTTATCTTAGTATTATACAATAAATATAACAAAAAATTATAATAATAATAATAACAATAATAACTGAAATTAGATCTGCTTCACCAATTTGTTGGGCTTTTTTCTTTTCTTTTCTTTTTTTTTTACATAATGCACATTCAGTTTCATGGCTGGTAAAATATTTATGGCCAGTACAAACTGTCAAGTCACCAGCAGATGGCAAGTGTGACAAAAAAAAACTTGCTTTTGTCTATGGGTGCCATATATCATCTCACCTGCAAACAGATGATGAAATGCATCGTGCAACACAGAGACCATCTTTCTTTTGCACAGGAAAGGCTTCTACCCATTTACTGTAATAATCTGTAATAATAACAATGTGTGTATTCCCTCCATGTACAGTTCCTGGGAATGGACCTGTTTAAAGAAAAACAAAAACAGACTTGTCATGCTCTATAAAATGTGTTTCTCCAAAAGATTTGAATGCTTAAAAATCCCTTTTACCAATTATTTCAATGGCCAAAATCTCCCATGGACCGTCCACCTTGATGGGTCTTACTGTTCTGGCCAGGTTTTTACTCCGCTCTGCATGCTGACACGTTTCACACACTTTAATCTGAAACACAAGATACAGTACTTTGTAGACACCAAGAAATAAATGAAAAACATCACAGTAACAAACACCTTCATCAGGATAATGGCATCCACTGCATACCCAATCCACAACATCCTTGACAATGCCAAGCCAGTAGTATTTACTCTGAATCCTGTGTACAGTCTTCTTCTGACCCAGGTGGTGTCCGATGTCATTGAAGTGACACTCCAGGAAGATTTGTCTCTTCCGCTCTGCCTCAATCACCACTTCTCGCTTCTCTTCTTTCTTTGGTCCCACATAATACAGCCGGCCATCTTTGGTGTTTAAGGTAAATTAGTAATTGGTGAGAAGATCATAGTGATTAGTAGGATCAGAAAGATAAGCTAAACAGTAATGTGTGAAAAGTTGCTTATGAGCAACTCCAGCTTTATGTATGTGACATTTGCAATAAAAACTTGAAACATAGATAAATATAAATTCACAGAGAATGTATATGAGCAATTCCAGCCTTATGGATGTGACATTTGCAGTAAAAACTCTAAACATAAATTCACACAGAAAGCATATGTTAACATTATATTGAAACTTTTGTTTATATTTTCCAAAACAACTGACCACAGAGTTATGGGACCAGAAATATATCAATATGTAAAGATGTTTTGTACTTTAATTGTGAAAAAAAAACATGCGTTATGGATGTGACAAAAAAAGTCTGCGAGTTTACAGTACACAGAATACTTTGTAGAAATTCTGTGAATGAAACTGCACAACCCAAAAGAAACATTGCTAATCAAAAGGATAAGAGTTGTCTCTTTGTACAACAAAAATTATTGGTTTTATTTAATTAAAAATTTTCACATTTAAGAGGAAAAAAGTGTCGTTATGAATGTGACACTTCTCCGTTATGGATGTGACAACTGTGAAATTGCCACTTGTGTGATTTTGGCAAATTAAATAAAATAGTTTGAAACACTGACAGATACATTTATAAGTATTTTTAAAGTACTGTAAAATTCTTGCTTACAAAAACTGTTTCTGGGATTTTTTGAAAACTGAAATTTTTTTTCATGGCAAGGTTGACATTTGCACTGAATTGCTCATATGTTACCAGTTTATTAAAACATCACTTTCTATTTTTTAAAACAACTTATCAGAGTTAAGGGATCGGAAAAACATCAATCTGTAAGCGTGTTTTATATTTTAAATGAGAGAATTAAACATGCATTATGGATGTAACCAAGAAGTATGCGAGTTTATATTATACAACGCATTTTGTAGGAATTCTCTGAATTAAACTGCACAACCCAACATAAATAATATTAATCAAAAGGATAAGAGTTGGCTCTCTAAAGAACAAAAACTAATTATTTTATTGTATATTTTTGCATTTATGAGAAAAAAAAACTTTGTTATGGATGTTGCAGATGTAAGATTTTCACTTGTGTGACTTTGGTAAATCAAATCAAATGGTTTGAAAACATTTACAGACACATTTTTGAGTATTTTACAGTACTCAGAAAGACATTCACTATTTTGGTGAAAATCTTTTTTTATGATGCAGTGTGTGGATGGTTTAATGACATTAATTGTAAAAGACACTAAAACTAACTTACATATTCAAGTATTCCTATGCTTACAAAAACAGCTATTAGCAATAAGAGGAAACATAAAAGAGGACAAAGGTGCCTTGACAGAGTTCGAAGAGGACAAGGGCATTTTCTGCTAAATATTATGCTGACCATAAAGGAGGAAATGGTCCAGATGACACTTCTGACAAACTATTAAAATCACAACTAGAAGCATTGTCCTTGGAGGACAAGACTCCTGAAAGACTGCCCTAATGCTGTTGAAATAGAAGAAATGCTTTGCCATGTTTTAATTCAAGTCTCTCACATTAGAGATAAAACAAAAACTGATTTATTCTATGTATTAACAGATATCCTCAAGTATATAAAACACTGATATCTTAAAACATTAAAAACACACCTGTATTCAAGGATTGAATACTGTATTAAAAGCTAGAGCATAGAGAACAGCGGCACGTTTAACTGACTTCTATATACTGAATGTCTTAGGCCAATTTATTCTCAGTGGAGAATATTGTAAAGGATTTTGTTTTGTTATTGTGATTGTGATTGTTTTTATTCTACCTTTTCACTGGATTTGTTTATTAATAAAGTTGTATTTTATTAATTTTCTTCACTGGAGTGGACATTGGCTTCATTTGCAGAACCCATCAAGATACACTTAGGTGAAGTTTGTTTTATATTCACACATTCGTTCAGTGACATCTCCATACATTGTTTAGCATGGTGCTTTGAATATTCAGACTGAAATCTCATGCAAGTATGACTTCAAAACACTAAAGACTGTTGCACTTTAATGGTTGTTGGCTGCTAGGATGATTTCAATATTTAGAATTTTTAATTCATAATTTTTGGAGATTATATTATTGATGAGAAAGACTGAATGTGCAAATATAAAACCAACTTTATGTAAGTTCAAGATACCTTGTGTGGTAAGGTATGAATCTAATTTATTTCTTGAACAACATTACAAAATATGGTCCTAAACAAAACTCTAGCTAAGAAATATAGCCAAGAGAGGATTCTGGTTTCTTTATTTAATTTGGGTATTAAATAAAGGCATCCAGCACAATGGCAAGGTTAACAATTGCATGGAAAAGTGTTTTACACACTAGTACTGAAACTGCATTAAGATATACCATAATGCAAACTAATACACAGTTGATAGTTACTGTGTCATAAATAAACTCCAGTTCAGTCTCTCAGTAAAAACCTTCTTACTGACAGAACCTTGAAATTTTAGTGGCAAATGAAAAGGTTTAAATCTCCTAATATTTCATCAAATGATTCTTGTTCCCTGAAAATATTGTATGGCTTTAAACTACTGATATTCTTAATGACACTTTAAAATCATTTTAATCTTCTCTAAATCATGATAAACATGTATGATTATGTTTTGATGAGATAAACAACAGGACACATTCTACACTACGGTAAACATGTTAAATCTACATTGCTTTTACAGCATTAATGAATGAAAAACGTTTGTTTAATCTCTGACCCATATATAACCACCGAATACTGAATGTACTCGTTTAGTACTTACCGTCAATAATAAACTTCTGAGCGTATCTTTTGAGATTTTTCTTGCGAATAGGATTCATAGTTTGAGGATAACAGCCCTCGGCAACAAAAGTGTAAATGTCCCCCAGTCTGTTTGAGCTGGACTCCACAACCTCCTCTTCGGCCACTGGCAACGAGTCCACACTCAACATTGTGCTGCGAACACACGGTCCCGGGCTTTAAATACATAACAGACAGATAATCCTCCAATTTCAAATTCAAAACTACATACACACTAATACTGGGGACATTGAAAACGTGTTTCTGAAAGAGCTCCCTCTTCAACATAAAGTGCACACAACAACAGTAGGACGGAAGAAATTGGATGGCGTACCAGGAAGTAAACATAACAAATGTTTTATCACTGTGCGTTAATTTATTGCGCTTTTTCAGATACGAACTAATGACTAAATATGCATAGAATAGTTCCACTCATATAGAAGTGAACAATTATTAAAGCTGACGATATAAATCCTATGTTAAATGAGCGAAGCTTTTTGTTTCTCTACGGACACAATTTTGGGTTGTTCCAAAACAATCACATAAGCGTGCGGAGCTCTAAACAGATTGACAGTTCAACCATTCTGGTCATAATGTGTTTTCATTGCCTTTAAAATATTTTAAAAACACAAATCATACATATTAAGTCTGTATAAATGTATAACAGTGTGTTATTTGACTTATAATATACGCCATGGAGAGATTTTACACATGCAGTTGCTTTTTCACAGACAATATTTTTCTTGAAGAATACAAACTTCATGTTCGTTTCGTCTCAGAGAACCAGTTTAGGAAGGACTATCAAAATGTAAGTAATTTACAGCAAGACGGGCTCATGTCTTCATGTTAAACAGTTTGCCAATTCCGTCTGAACTTCGCTGACATTTGCTTAAGATCCTCAGATCCCTGGGTTGTGAGTCTGAATCCCAATTCAGAGACGTGATCGGAAAGGTGAGTAATAAGTGTGCTCTCGAGAACAGCGATAACGATGAAGATCAAGGCTGTCAGAGAGCGGTTATTCACTCACTCGTGTATTTATAGATTCAGGCAGAAATCGAAAGACGCCAAAATCATAAATTGAAATCTACAGAGAGAGCAGCTGTCATCAAGGAGATTTATACACCTCTACACCAACATGTTTATCATCTTCAGGTACTTATGATCAGCAACACGGGCAGTCTGTGATTTATGTCGTCCACTGACTTACTGGAATATAATTTATCATCTCTAGGAATCTTTCTTAGCCCCAGAGCTTTTAGAGATGGTCAAATATTGTGCTTCAAGTGAAGCAAATGTGCAAGGACTGTTGAAACTCATCCAGACAGAGGCAGGTGAGCTGCTGCTTTACACGTGTTCCAATTTATTAATAAGAAGGAAAAATCACATGCTAACTAATTCTGTTTACTGAAAATTTCGCAGCTTCGAGAGTGTTTCGGTTCCAGGTGTTCCGAAAGGAATTCTGCAAGGACCTTCTAGAAGAGCTGGAGCATTTTGAACAGTCGGATGCACCCAAGGGCAGGCCGAACACCATGAACAATTATGGGGTAAAGGTTTTATTATAAAGGTCAAGGACTTTGCAAGAGACACTCACTAAAATATAATTTAGTGTAACACAAATAAATAATAATAAAATATTGTTAGGCTTAAATAAAACAAGGAACATTTGATGACATATTAAATTTAAAGATCATAGTTCAGCCTCTAAATAATAATTTAGTTGTTTTTTTCTTGATACTTTATTCTTTTTGCTTACACTTTACAATTATTTTCTATTAGTTAATATATTTATTAACATAAACAATACATTTATTACTTATTTATTCACCTTTGTTAACATTAGGTAGTGAAAATAAAGTTGTTGACTGTTAACTCAAAGTGCATTAACTATTGTTTTTACTCAACTGTGGAATTTAATAATGCATTAGTAAATGTTAAACTGATTAATACATGCTGTAAAAGTACTGTTCATTCTTAGTTAATGTTAGTACATACATTAGCTAACATGAACTACTGGAACATTATTGTAAAGTGTTACCCTTCAAGCCACTTCAACCCAATTGTCAGCAGTTGGATGAAAGTTTTCCATCATTTAAGATATAATAATAAAATTGAGTATAATCACATTTTATATAGCTTAATAGGTGCAGGTTGGTTTAAGTATGTTTTTCCTAATTATCATCAATATTTGTTGGAATAACCCTGATTTTCAGCCACAACACACAAAAAACATTTGTTATTCTAAACGTAATCTTCTTAAGAAAAAATAGTAATTTAAAGTGTTAACTGATGTTTTTACACAACTATGGATTTTAATAGTGCATTAGTAAATGTTGAACTGACTAATAAATGCTGTTAAAAGACTGTTACATTGAATAAATATACAGAAAATATACCAGGCCATTACATAATAAACAAATATTCATATTTTACTCAAAGCCATACCTAAATAATTCAGTAAATACAGTGGAACTGGGGATTTCTTAGTAGTCTATAATTCTTTTCTATAGTTGCACATTCATAATTCTGTCTATAGGTATATTTACTGGTATAGTTAGTTTTTCATTTTATTTAGTGTTTATTTTTATTATTATATTATACTATTTTTAGATTCTTTATTCCATTATTAGCGTTATTTTAAGTTATATTTTAAGTTACTATTATTTCTTTGTAAGTCTGCAGACACCACAGCATGTCTGTGTCTTGTGTGCCTCAGTCTGATATTCTAATCACACATTAGACTAATCTTGGCCTGGTTGTTATTAGTTGTATGCCAATAATAATAATTGTTATTTGGCTTCTTTGTAAATGAAACAGATTGTTCTGAATGAGCTGGGCTTTGATGAGGGCTTCATCACTCCACTGAGGGAGGTGTATCTGCGTCCACTCACTGCTCTGCTCTACAGTGACTGTGGAGGAAACTGTCTGGACAGTCACAAGGCTTTCGTGGTCAAGTACGATATGCATGAAGACTTGAATCTGAGCTATCATTACGACAATTCTGAAGTCACTCTCAATGTATCACTTGGTAAAGACTTCACCGAGGGGAACCTGTTCTTCGGAGACATGAGACAGGTGCTGTGAATTACAGTTTCAAACAATAGTCGAAAAATAAGTAATGATTAAAACATTTCTGGGTTAAGAAACACTGAGTATTTTTAAAATAAATTCATGTCCAAGATCCCTGTCAGGAAAGTCTTGAGGAATTGTTTAATTATGTTATTAATTATTTTCCATCATGTCATTCCAAATGGCTCTGAGACTTTCATTCATCCTTGGAACACAAATGATTATGTTTTAGATGAGAGCAAAATCTAAATCATCCTCCATAGACAGCAAGGTTCCCGACTAGTTTAAGGTTAAGACAAATACCACAAAAAACAAATTCGCAAAAACAGATCATATGCCTTCAGTGGTTAAACCTGAATATTATCAACCTAAAAGAATAATTTTGTGCACACATAAAACATAAGTTCATAAAACATATATTCAACAGTTTAGTCTCCTCTATGTCAGAATATTGTGCACGACAAAAATGAGTCTCAAAAATGAGGAAACTCTCAGATTTCACCTAAACATCTTAATCTGTGTTCTGAAGAACAAAAGTTTCAGGCGGTTGAAATGACACAAGTGTGAGTAATTAATAACAGAATTTTCATTTGGATGAACTTCTTTTAAGACTTCTAAAATCCAAGATCTAATTGATTTACCTGTATTTAATAAATGTTATATATACTTGAAAATCTTAAAATGTTCTGGATTTAAAAATGTGTTTGGTTGAAGTTAATAACAGTTTTATTGTATAAGAAATAAATACATATTTTATATTTATCATATATAACATATATAAACCTATTACAACTTTTACTCAAACAGGAATCCATAAATAGTAAATGCAGAGAAAGTGGGAATACTCAAGTGGCCTTTTAATCAAAGCTGTGTGTGCAGGTACTTGTTTTGGTGGTTTATGTGGACCACTAATATATACAGTTAAAGTGAGAATTATTAGCCCCCTTAATTATTAGCCTCCCTGTTTATCCCCCCCCCCCCCCCCCCCCAATTTTTGTTTAATATGGATACGATTTTAAACATAATAGTTTTAATACTCATTTATAATAACTGATTTATTTGATCTTTGATGACAGTAAATAATATTTGACTAGATATTTTTCAAGACACACCTATACAGCTTAAAGTTACAGTTAAAGGCTTAACTTGGTTAATTGGGTTAAAAAAAAAATAGGCATGTGTAATTAGGCAGGTTATTGTATAAAGATGGTTTGTTCTGTAGACTTTCTGAAAAAATATGTAGCTTAAAGGGGCTAATAATTTTGACCTTAAAATGTTTTAAAAAATAATATTTCAAAGGTTGTGTTTACGGTTGAATAATTCTGACTTCAACCGTACGTACGTACGTACGTACGTATGTACGTACGTACACATATACATACATACATACATTGCTGACATGGGTATGATCTCAATTAGGGGTGCCCAAACCTTTTCACATGAAGGGCTAAAACCAAATATTGATAACCGTGGGACAAAGATACATATACCAAACTATATTACATGAAAGTTGCCATGGGTAATTTCCTAATTTATTTCATATTTCAAAATAAATATAAAACATTACTTTAAATTGTATTATCTAGTGCAGTATAACTCAAAATGATAACTTACTGCAATAAAAGCATAAACAATCACATTTATAACACAGTGGAGTTCAATGCAGAATACACTGGTCAAGCAGAATTGATTTGCTCACCAAATTCTCTGCATTCTCGGATGACAGTGTGTACATTTATACAAAATCTGATTAATTTACACCATTTAATTGAAACCTTTAATTTCAGAGACCTTTTAACAATAAAACAAACAAAGGATTACATTGCATTTGAAATGACAATCTTGAAACCCTCTCCATCATTCTCATTTGGCCCCCAGGCCCTAGTTTGGGCATCTCTGATCTAAATATTACAATTTTGCGGTGGTTTATTAGGACATGCCCTCTTTCAAAACTCTCATACTTAGGAGGGTCTCTTTTCACATTAACAATTTGCTGTGAGGGTTAGGGTAGGGCAAAATAATAAGTGTTTTTTTCTTTTTTAGAGTATAAAGCACATTATGACAGTTAAGAGTCCTCATAAACCTCCAAAATGAGTATCTAAATTTTCAGGTTTGTGTATTTAACTGTAATATAATATAATGGGTTGACAATTTGCTGACACTTCAATGTAACATTTTCAGTTAGATTATTACTATTATTTATCATATATTTAAAGAATAGTTATTTTATTAATTTTCAATAGCCATGTCATTATGATATTTTTCTTATAGAGCCCACTTGTGGCTCTATTTGTTTATAATAATAAATAATTTTTTAAGTGGTCACTTATGCTAGGGCTTAAAACCCCTATGTAAAATCTATCACCAAATCATACAATTACATTTTCCAAACATTCACCATTGAACGCACTGTACTTAAGATATCAAACAAATCCTTACTTCAAGAATAGCTTTTATTTCATGAGTATACAACACATTAGTTCACTTTACAAAGACACTGACAGTTCTGGATGAAACAGTGGGCAGCACAAGCATGCGGCCTAAAATATTGCATATATTAATGGTATTGCATATTTACAGAGTCCTGACAGTGTGTTTGTTTGTCTCAGGTGCCTCTAAGTGAGACTGAGTGTGTGGAAGTGGAGCATCGCGTTACTGAAGGTCTGCTTCACAGAGGCCAGCACATGCATGGAGCTTTGTCCATCTCCTCAGGTACTCGCTGGAACCTGATTATATGGATGCGAGCTTCACGCCAGAGGAATAAACTCTGCCCAATGTGTGGTAAGAGACCCACTCTTGTGGAGAGTGACGGATTCAGTGACGGTTTCACCATGGACTCCGACGGTGATGCTAGAGCCAATGTGTCATGTTCTTTAACATGATGTTATTTTTAAGATTTTTGAGGTCAAAATCAAGATAGACTCTAAGAGTTTGGTAGAGTGTTCCTTTTTCAAAATGAGTGCCAACAGTGTATGTATGTATGTATATATGTATATGTGTGTGTATATATATATATATATATATATATATATATATATATATATATATCTATATATATATATATATATATATATATATATATATATATAGGGAAGAATAATTAAATAATTTAATTTTCTTATGATTGTAAATGTAGTAAAATGATTGATTGTTGCTATTTATGTTAGTCAATGTCTTCGGATGAAATAATATATACAAGCAATTTGAGATATACAATAAAACATGATTATTTAAAAACAAATCACTCTAAGGTATATGGTTCTATGTACAAAACAACAGTTGAGGAATTATTTTCAATATGCCACCTCATTTGCTCATTTTCCAGTATTCAAGTATGAGGTTAAATCTCATGTCAGCCAGCATCCATCATTTGCAGCCTGCCCATGTACACATATTCATGCACAGAATATAAAAATACAGAAAACACATCCCGCTTTCACTGAGCACAACTCACACAAACATTCAGAAACATTCAAGTAAATAAAATTAATAGCCAAAATTTCTAAAAATCTGAGTTTCATCTGTCCTTTCAAAGCTTGTGTGTTTGTTTTTTGGTTGTTTCTTTTCCCCAGCTTTGAGTTTTGAGCGTCATAAGCAGGAAAAGAAAGGGAAAAGGAAGGAAAAGCATGATTGATCAGAGAAAGACAACACTACTAGAAGGATAAAGGGAAAAATCACAGTTGTTTATTCTATCAAAGATATAAAGGTGATCTAAAAAGGTTGCACTGCATAAATATATCTGATTTTGTCTAAAATATACTTTCATTTCTAGCATAAAAATAATCTTTTATTTTCAGAAACCTTTGGCTTTTAAAATGAGAGAAACTTAAATTTTGAAGTTGGAAGGTCAAAATATTCTCTCTGTCATATACATTATCTATGGTGTTATATCAATTCTAATTAGAGCAAATATACTGCATCGGCATCATTTTTCAGTTGCTTTGGTTTTTAAAATCAGAAAAATATATTGTGTTTGAGAAATTAGCTTAAACTCGACATTTTATCTTGACATTCTTTAAAATTGAGTTGCCATGCCACCGTTTTGCCAACCCATAAAGTGCCATCTGACCACAAATCACAGGAGCTTCAACAAGAAGTTTTTACAGCGTTGTTTCGCTGCTCATGTCCCTGTGATCCCTGTGTCTGCCTCTAGGGTTTATATCTGTGTCTTCATAGTCCGACTCCATCTCAATCTTGACCTGGGGAACAGGACACGGCATGCCTCTGGCCAGTGGCATCGCTGGAGACGACGGGCAGGAGATCTTCAGGTGCAGAGTGATGCTGTGAAATGGCAACTTCCAGTTACAACAGTGAGGAGTAGGAGGAGGTTACGATGGGGAGGAGGAACAGATGAGGATCAGGACGCACAGCAGGCTGTATTGACATGTTGGATGGAGGTAACAGACGGCGGGTGAGACTGCACAAATGTTCCATGGGAAAGATTTGGGATTAGAAGATCCAAATTTAGGAAGAATGTTTCCAGGTATCTAAAGTTTTAAAATGCGAGAATACTAGAGTAGCTTTGATAAACCTTAAAAAGCTCTTTTTACATTTACCCACCCTCAAGTAGTTCTACACTAATGAGTTGCTTTCCTATGCTGAACACAAAGGAATATATTTTAAAGAATGTTGGAGACCAGCAATCATTGAGGTTCATAGTAGGAACAAAAAAACACTGAAAGTCATTCTTTAAAATATCTCCCTTTGTGTTCAACGGAAGGAAGAAACTCAAACAGGTTTGGAACAAGTGAAGGATGAGTAAATTATATTTCATTCTTATATTTTTTATAAGAATTCAGTTAATTTATTATTTGCGTTTGGAAATATTGTTGGTTTACAGTCATACCAACTATATTTATTTAGAAATGCTTTATTTATGCACTTTTAAAGACAAAAAACGTTGGTATGACTGTTAGAATATTTATTGACAATAATTTCTTATGAACAATAAAGATGCATTTATTTGACAAAACAACATATTATTAATTTTGTTAAATGTTATTTCAATCCAGAATAACACTTTTATTTAGGTATATTTTAGAAAATTAATTATCCTCGCTATGGAAACTTGTTTCTAACTATTACAATAGTAATAATCAGTTATAATGTACAGTAGTATATATTTAAAATGGCATTATCCTCCATAAATAATATTAACCAACCGAACCATTGTGGAATATGAACACTTTCTCCAAACCATGCCCCCTGAACAGCAATGCAGACATGAAACCCAACAGATTTTACATCATTTCCACAGGACAGTGAAACAGAGGTATACAAATGGTTAAATATATAGGTTTGTGGATATAATCTGAGAGGCCAGGCTGGGAAACCTTCATAAAGGGAAAAACAACACCAAGCACAGATTTATACTGAATAAGCAGAACCGCAAACACAGGAGAAAGAAACAACCAAAATTCCAAGCAAGAACTAATATACACTGCTATCAATGTTTTATATACTAAAATGTAATTTGGCAAAGCTTGCAGAAAAGTAACCCAAGCGGGGTACGCTATATTTATTCAAATAACTTTTCTGGCTGACATATATTTTTCTAGTAATTCTACAAAATAAACTGTAGAATAAAGCAAAATAAAGCTGTACCCACATCTAATTATGCAAGTTCACAATGCAGTATCCGGGTGTGAAAATGTAAGCAAAGAAAAGACATTTACTGTATATATAGCAATAAAATACAGGTTTTATAGCTACATGTGGAGTAAAATACTGGTGGTTACATGGAAACAATTCTATCTGCATTGCTTCAAAGCGCATGGCAAGGGCAATGAGGAAAATCTGTAGGTAAATATTGAAATAATACAAGGCAAAAATGCTATTTATAAAAGCTTACGTGACCTTTTTATAGGTCTTAAAAGTTAATATATTCTGCACTGCTTCTCGACTATGTCATTTACGTCTATGTTAGTATTAATGCAGTGTATTTAAAGGAAACGCTCACATTTTTCAAATCTAATAAAGTCAGTATCAGTGGTAGTAACTGCCTGGCTGGCATCGTGCTGCCCACTCTGAGTTGGAGTCTGGCGCCTGTAAGAGGTCACGGTAGGGAACGTGTAGTTTGAGCACACAGTACCTGCGATCCAAGTCCGAATCACCAGGGGTGCAGTTTGTGTAGGGGTGGTACTTGTCCTGTGGGCCAAAAAACAGGATGAAAATTAGTATATTAATGAGTACAACTGCAGCAGGCCATTTATTCATTTATTAACTAATTAAATCTTTAATTTGAAAACACTTAAGTACGGTATCAGTATAATGGATAGATGGATGGATAGATGGATAGATAGACAGATATGCTATCTATCTATCTATCTATCTATCTATCTATCTATCTATCTATCTTTCTATCTTTCTATCTGGCACTGTGTGTATATTACTAGGCTGAGGTACTTATATAGACAATACTACTTATTCATTAGATACTAATGCTTATTAGATACTATTACTTGTGTATATGATATTGGCACTCATTGAATAGATACTATTGCTTGTACATAGTGAGTAGTAACTATTGTTTCTATTGAGAAATTTCCCACTTTTGTCATGAACTTCTATCTGTCACTGATATATGTACTATTAAAAGTTGTTTATGTTTTTTTAGATGTTAGTATGTGAGTCTTAAGGATATCTTTAAGCTAGTGTGGTACAAAACATTGACACAAAACAATATAAACAACAAAAGTTAGATCTTAAGTTTATGTATTCTATTTGTAAGTTGTCCATTTTTTAGGTTCGAGTAGTTTAACAATTTAGATATCCATCAAAGTACTAGCTTACCAAAAAATTAAAATGGTCTTATTGGTTACTCACTCTTCAATTGTTGAGTTTATTACAATTTGAGTTTATTTTGTCTGCTAAAACAATAAAGAAGATATTTTGAAAAATGCAGGGCTGGGTCTAAAACTGCCCACTACCTCACTACCATTCATGAATTCTCTAATGGGGCATAGTGGAACAGTGTAGCGTCCATCGGATGCACAATTCAGAATCTCGCCAGAAGTATCATTCATTCGGGTAATTCTCGCATACCGATTTTCGAATTCTTTGAATTCGGACATACTACTTAACTTGCATACTAATTTTAGTGTACTATATAGTATTGAAGTATGAGGTTTCAGACACAGCCATTGACTTCCATAGTTGTGTATTATTTCTTATATGGACGTTGATGGGTGTCAGCACCTAGCATTTTTCAAAATATGTTTATTGAAATATCTCCTTTTGTGTTCAACAGAAGAAAAAAAATCTCAAAAGAGTTTAAAACCACATGGGTGAACTATCCTTTTAAATAAATATTAGTTGTCATTTACTACATCATGTAGCTTGCGCTTCATCCTGCTCCATTTCAATCATGATGAAATGTATTTTGTTTAAAGAATTGTTTTAAGTGTATGATTTTTTTTTGTTCAAAATAAAATAAATTAAATATAGTTTATTTTTGTTACATAATTAATTATACGCAATTATTTAGACTATCAAATAAATTATACTACTCATTTAGTAGATGGTAGTATTTAGTGATTAGCTGATCATATTCATTCAGTAGACTAGTACATGATTATTAGATACGTGCTTATGTAGATAATTGAAATGTCATTGTTTTATCTTACTTCACTGCAGTGTTTTCAACTAACCATAACAAAAGACGAGTAAAAAGTAGATGTTACTAGTTAGATTTTTTTTATTAATAATAATTACAAAAGATACTCTCTAATGTCCCTAGTGTCTAATACATAGGCACTACTGCATAATTAATTACTATATCTAATATACAGGGACTAGTACATTAAGAATGATTACAAGTATCTATGTTAAACATGCTAGTTTTTATTGAATCAGTACCATCAAATAATAAAACCTAGTATCTATTAACTAAATGGTACTAGCACCTAAACAATATGCACTGGTACTGATAGAAAAAATACTGATGTTTAAAAAATATATAACATTAAAATATATAGCTGTGTTTTTTAGATTAAATGTAACAATGCCTTGCCATACTATAAAATGTTAATATCAATACATCTATGAGGCTCTTTTTACCAGAAGGTGGCACTAGAGAAACACAATGTGTTTGTGTGCATCTCATAAATCATTTAAATAGATTGTTTTTTTGTGTAAAGACCAAAGATGATTTCATTCAGGCCCATTTTTAAGGATCACAAAAGTTAACTCATTTAAATTCTAGAAGCTTGGGTGTCCTTTCTTCAAGTAGTCTGCTCTTTAAACACTTACATCATCTTCACTGTCATCCCCTCCTTTGCCTTTCTTTTTGTCCTTCTTGATGTTCTTCTTTTCATCATCTTTTTTCTTCTTTTCCTTCTCAGGCAGGATATCGTCCAGCCATGCCAGATCATGTTGAGAGAAGACCATGTCTAACATCTTTCGGACCACCATGAGACCTAGAATCTGTGGAGTTGAGAGAAAGTATCAGTTTTTTTATCTATTAACATGTCTTTTATGTGCATCGTCCCTATACAGGCATGGTTCACCTTAAATAGACAATTTGCTCGCCTTCACGCCATGCAAGATATTGGTGACTTTTTGCCTTCAGCAGAACATTAAAGGAAATTTAACAATGTTATATATAATGATCACTTTCTTGCTAAGGCCTCAATGGACATTTCTGGTGTTCTCTGCAGAGGATATCATCATAGTTGGGTAAACTTGGAGCACAGTGAAAAGGAGAGTACAACATTTTTCTTTTTCCATTTCTATTTGCTCAAATAATAAAAAGATACACTCAATGATAGTGTTTTCAAAACTTTCAGAAATAGGATAAAATTGTGTGAGACTGATAACGGCAGTCAGAAGAGAGAATAATACATTGTTTAGCCATTAGCCTTCGGTGCCTGACGGGCTGGTCTGAGTAGTTCAGAAACTGCTGATCTACTGGGATTTTCATGCACAACCAACTCTAGGGTTTACAGAGAATGGTCAGATAAAGAAAAAATATACCCAGTGAGTGGCAGTTCTGTAGGCACAAATGCCAGACTGGTTCCAGCTGACAGAAAGGCAACTATAACTCAAAAAAACACTTGTTACAACCAAGGTATCTGCAGGCGAGTATCTTTAAACGGACGCACAACACGACAAACCTTGAGGTGGATGGGCTATAGCAGCAGAAGACTACATCGGGTGCCTATCGTATCAGCTAAGAACTGGAAACTGAGGCTACAAATCACACAGGCTCACCAAAATTGGACAATAGAAGATTGAAAACGCTGCCTGCTCTGATAAGACTTGATTTCTGTTGCTATGTTCAGGTGGTAGGGTCAGAATTTGGCGTCATCAACATAAAAGCATGGATCCATCCTGTGTTGTATCAACAGTTCAGGCTGGTGGGGGTGTAATGTTGTGAGGGATATTTTCTTGGCACACTTTTGGGCCCATTAGTACCACATTATGTCAACACCACGACAATGACAATGAGTTCACTGTAGTCAGATGGTCTCTACAGTTACCAGATCTTAATTCAATACAGCATCTTTGGCATCTGGTGGAATGGGAGATTTACATCATGTGCAGATGTGCAGCTATCAAATCATGATAGCAAAACTGTGTGATGCTATCATTTCAGTATGGATCAAAATCTCTAAGGAATATTTCCAGTACCTTGTTGAATCTATGCCATGAAGGATTAAAGCAGTTTTGAAGCCAAAAGGGCATCTAACCCGGTACTAGTAAGGTGTACCTAATAAAGTATATAATATATATAATAAATTTAAGATGCTGATGAACGTCATGAATGCGTCATAGCAGTCACTTAAAAAGGGTCCATCATCAGGAACCAAAGTTCTTTTATTTTTATATATTTTTTATTAATCATGTTTTTGCAAGCCACTGACTTGCATTTTAAGAGTCACAAAGTACAAAGTATGTTTAGTTAAAACATATTTTAAAATGTTCTACTGTAGGAAAAAGGCCTCTCCATCTTGCTTGGCTTGAGGGTGAGTACATTAAATGTATAGTTTACTAACAATAATATTTTGCTAACCATTTACTCAGACTCAAGCGACTAAAGTTTTATGATTTTATTTCTTGTTGAAGAGAAAATCTGAAGTTATTCAGATTTTTACATCATTCTTCAGAAAATCTTGTTCTGTGTTCAACTGAAGAAAGAAACCCAAACAGGTTTGCAACAAGTGGAGGATGAGTAAACTATGACAGAATTATCATCAAACTAAGATCTTTACTGAATAACAGACGGCTGTAATTTCAATTGATGACAAGGACAGAGTGTTATTTAACCCCTCAAATTCATTTAACTGAGCCAGTGTTCGTAGGTCTGGTGGACCCACTCCATTTTGGGGCATTTAATTAAAAAAATAAAATATTTTATGTTCAAATACTCAACAGATATTTTTATTCATGAATTCCGGTGTTTAAACTGATCATTTTGATGGACACAGAACAATTTTCTATTGTTTTTCAGTGTAAACACACACTTGCTGGACGTGCATGACCACTATGTTTAAACACAGGAGTTCATGAATTGTTAAAAATTAGTTAATAAGTCATTCTTTTTTCAATCTCACACTCATTTGCATTGGCTCATTAAGAATGAGCCAAGAGTGAGCTAATAACACTGTGTTACCCAATTATGATTGCATTATGTGTGGCAATGTATATGGAGTATGTTATCATACCATGACAGGGAAGATGATGGCGAGGAAAGTAGATTTGAGGATCCAGAGTACTGCTAAGCACACAATCTGCACCAGTGTGAATAGATGGACTCTCCTGAGCGGCACATGACGCAGGTATGAAAAGTCTGGCTGGTGTTTCGCTGGCATCATGATCAGTTTAATTCTGTCCCAGAACTATCAAGGAAAAAAGGTTTGATAAATAAAATTAAAAAATTATAAAAAAAAAAATAAATATATATATTTATATCTTTCATTTTAATTTCTCACACATATCATTTAAACTCTTTGGCCTTATATGAACCCGAATGGGGACTAGTCCTGTTAAGATCTTTTGAGTGGAAGAATTCACTTTACATAATGATTTAAAATGTATAATTCTAAGTGATATGAATGATTTTTTTTGCAAATTGTATGGATCTGGTTCTTAATTTAATCATTCGGCTGCCTGCACTTTCGGCCATAGAGGTAGTTGAAAACACATTCAACTGGATTGCTTTAATGGTGTAAACTAAAGCTGAACAATGTATCCTTAAAAGACACCAACCTCAATTCAAACACTCATTTAGTCTTATTCTTATTCTGAGCAGTAGTCTTAACCAAAGAGAACAGTTTTCATGTACTGCTTCTGTCTTTTCAACCACATTTTTCTAGGTCACATATTCAAAGTACAACAGATATTACAGGGAAAAATGCTTATAGTTCAGAAATAAACACTGATGTCTGCAGTAGTGGTCAAAATAGAGTAAATTGTCATTTGAAAGCAACTTGTACATTACACTCTATACCAGTAGTTGGCAACAAACAACTGATAAAATGTCATTGAAACATTTGTTTAAAACAATGACTTATCCAGTAATTACACACACAAAGTCTTGGGGAACCTATAAAAATGTATTTAATCAACCCAATCATATATTATTTTTAAAATAGATTGCAGCAAATACAAAAAGAGATCAGAACCTCTAGTCAATAATTTATTCTGTGACTTTTATAATAAAAATGTAAAAGAGTTTTGAGAGATGTTGTATAAAAAGTGCACCAAACATTAGTATTCAAATTGTGTTGTTCCAAAACAGAATTTTGTTGAAACTGTCATTGTCATCCTTTTTTTTCACTTGATTTACCACTCACTTGTAAGTCATAAGCAGGGTCAGGCAAAATCTGTAAACTTTTACCCTGCACAATTTTGTAAAAAAAAATAAATAAATAAATACAAATTTTGAAAACAGATTTTGAGATTATAGGAGCTAAAAGCTTTTTCATTTATATTTAAGATTTAAAAGGCCTATTCAATCCCACCCTTTAGTTCCATAAACAAAGCTACAGTTGGTCTTTTAAATAATACATCTAAAAGACAAAAAAATATGACTTTACAAATTGTTTTGTACACAAATCATATACACATCAAAACATTTATATATTATCCAATATAAAAAAAGAAAAACAATGTATACAGTGCTCAGCATAAATGACAATATATATATTGGTGCATATACATTAGATTAGTCAGTACTACAGCACAAACTGGAACTAATCAAGCAAAATACTTAATACACAGTTCAAATATTAGTACACTCAAATAAATATGTTGGGGAAAAATATGAAATAAAATTTTAAATAAATGTGTTTTCTTTCTTTTCCCAAAGACATTTGCCAACCAAGCTCGTATTTTAATCACAGTATTACATAATTTTAATAAAACCTAAATTTAAATGCATCTAAGTATATAAGCTATATTTGCTGGAAAATGAATAAAAATTGTCATTTTGAAAAGGATGTTTCCCAGAGATGGGTTGCGGCTGGAAGGGCGTCCGCTGCGTAAAAACGTGCTGGATAAGTTGGCGGTTCATTCCGCTGTGGCGACCCCGGATTAATAAAGGGACTAAGCCGAAAAGAACATAAATGAATGAATGAATGAGTGAATGAATGAAAAGGATGTGTAGTCATTTCTGCTGAGGACTGTATGCATGCATTTACATTAGTAAATAGATGGAATGACAAGGTCAAAAATCTCTGAAAATCTGCAGAGTTTTCTGCGGATTCCTATGGGCCTAGTTATAAGCAAATCTTTTGTAGAGCATGGCAAAATCAGGCAGAAAGAATTTGTCAAAATCGGAACGCGATTGATCATAAGAGATGCATTGTGACACATTACTATTAGAAGGAAATGCAATGTGTCTTGCCTGGCCAGTGGTGATCACTAAAATGGCATAATATCAGGTGGAAATGGGGTATTAGTACTTGTCACCTTATTTTACTAGCCTACACTAACTCACAAAAGTCTTTTTGTTGATCCCTGTTGTAAGAGCAAAAAATAATAACTTCTAGTTGATCATTTGGAAAAGTGGCAGAAGGTAGATTTTTCAGATGAATCATCTGTTGAACTGCATCCCAATCATCACAAATACTGCAGAAGACCTTTGGAAGCCACATGGACACAATATTCTCATAGAAATCAGTCAAGTTTGGTAAAGGAAAAATCATGGTTTGGAGCTACATTCAGTATGGGGGCTTGCGAGAGATCTGCAGATTGAATGGCAATATCAACAGGCTCAGGTAAGGCATTTGTGCTGCCCATTACATTACAAACCACACAAGACGGCACATTATTTAGCAGGATAGCGCTCCTTCTTATACTTCAGCCTCCACATCAAAGTTCCTGAAAGAAAAGAAGGTCAAGGTGCTCCAGGATTGGACAGCCCAATTATTAGACATGAACATTATTGAGCATGTCTGGGGTAAGATGAAAGAGGAGGCATGGAAGATGAATCCAAAGAATCTTGATGAACTCAAGACTTGCGCTGCAAGAATATTAATTCTTTTTCCACTGCACCATGACTTTATATTCTATATTGTACATTATTTCTGTTAAGTGACAAGACTTTCATCTCAGCAAAGTCAGACCTTACTGTCCTATTTATATAATTAAAAAAAATCAAGGCATGATCAAAAATTTATTTTGGTAAAACAAGCATACTCTAGAGACCTTTGCCTTTTATATAAGCCACCTTTGATACTAAATGATCAACTAGAAGTCAAGTTATTATTTGTTGCTCCTAAAACTTGGATAGGCGACAAGACGTGTAAACGAAGAGTCTTGATACTCCAAAGGTCAGTTACATATTGTTAAAAAAATTATAAAAAGTCTGAATAAAGTGTTACCTAGAGAGTTAAATTAATAACGCTCATGAAGCTTGAACGCAGAAATGTCAGGATAAGTAAAATATTTGCTGACCTGAACATTGTTTATCTTTTCTTGCCCTACTTTTAACTCCATTGTTTTACATCACTAATACACTGCGAATCCATTCTTAAATCAAAAAGCCAACACTTGTCAAATCTAAGCAGACATAAACCTAAACATTGATATTCACTGAGCATATTGTAAAGGTCTCTGCTCAAGGTCCACCATTTTGCAATTGTCCACCTCTTGTTCTCGAGCTGACATTAAAGCTGACTACGAGAGCACGGCAAAGCAGCACCTGGCCACTGCCAAGCCACACTGCAGTCTGACAGCCTCATCAAAATGCAGCTCAAAATTGCCTGAGTAAACTCAGCCAGCATGCAAATATCCAATCCCATAACACCTCGCTCTTCCGTCCCCGTGCTGTCACAGTGTGAAGAAATCACTCATTTCCAATCATTAAACACAGTTGTAGCGTGCATGCAAATGAGTTTTATGCTCACACACAAAGTGCAGGTTGTGGTGTAGTTTGAAAGTTTGGCACGATATTTACATATAGTAGTGTCACAAAGCATAAATGTTCTTTGGCTTTCAGAGCTGTTCCAAACGGCTCAGTTGTGGCTGCGAGGGGAAGCAGGAGGGGTTGAGAAAAAGGTTAGATCCCTGAAGGCACTTACTTGGATGCCACTGAGAGAAGCAACGCCCATGTAGAGGAAAACTCCATACAAGACTGGCATAGGGATGAACTACAAATAAAGCAAAAAAAAAAAGTAGATTTCAGCTGCCAAAGCAACAGTACTTATGCTTACAAGTCAACGTGAAGGGAAAACTAACGCTGTAAATAAACATTTAGTTAAAAAAAAAACTAACTCTTCCTTTTCTCACTTACACCAGGCAAGATATTGGATTATATTAACTTGTAATTGAATTAGTTTTTGCTATTAATTAAAAATAAAAGAATGACTTCCTACATGGGGCATTTTCAGTTTTTAATAGTTGATTTTATGAAGATTTCCTCAGAGAGTTTGACCTTTAAAAGCACAATTCAGTTGCATTTTAATGGTACGTGAATAATAATAAAAATAGTTAAATGTCATGGCCATAAAGGTGTGATTGAAGCTGACCAACTGAAGACGACTTTCAGACTGCTATGCAATGTTCACTTTAGCTTTTTGTTGTTGTTTTGTTGTTGTTGTTATTATTTTTTTAGAAATTCTGCATAAGTTATGTTAAATACATAAAATGTACATTAATAGAGACTTTTAGGGTCAGAATGATGCATTAAAAATATATAAATGACAGTAAACACTGTTACAAAAGAACAATCTATTCAAATAATCTTGATTAACAATCGTAATATTACAATAACAAAAATATTTTGTATTAAAATAAGCCCTCAAGGATCATATGACAAATGATGGATGAAATTAAAATAAAAGTTAAAACATGTAAAAACAGAAAAACATCTCTTGAATATTTGCATTGTTACTGTTTAAGAGAAAGCAAATGTGATAGCTGGATCCACATGCAGTCAAAGGATACTTAATTAGTCCAAACAAGATTCAAAGGACAAGGCAATGGCGATGAAAAGGAACAAAACAAAAGAAATCGCAACACAAACATTCACATTGCTGCATCCGAAATCTCATACTTCCATAGTATAGTTTGCTAAAAACAGTATGCGAGCTGAGTAGTATGTCCAAATTCACAGAATTCGAAAAACAGTATGCAAAAAGTACCAGTGGCGTAGGGCAAAATGCCTGGGCCCACCCACAATAGTTAAGGCAGGCGCCCCTCTAGAATTGAAGAGTTTGTGTTGTCAGAATTAAAGAGTTTGTGTTGCTGTTGCTTATGATCACGCGGGGGAATGAATAACCATGGGAGTGGGGAGGAGGGCTTATGATCGTGCAATTATGACAATTATGATCATGCGGGAATGAAGAACTGGGGGGGAGGTGGGAGTGAGGGGTGTGAGGGGTGCTTATGAACATGCGAAGTGAAGACCCAGGGGGGTGGTGTAGTTAAGGATTTATCATCATTTATCATCATGCAGGGCCCGTCCGTTACGCCATTGAGACGTATCAGGATGACCTACTATTTCAAGCGATATTCTGAAATGCGCATCTGATGGATACCATGCTATCCCATGATGTACAGCGAGATAATTTATGAATGGAAGTGAAGTTACCCTCTGACGCAGGTAGGGCATGTGATCATGACAGAATGGTGGATGTTGTATGTCCAAGTTCCATTCATACTACTCCCAGTCATACTGTATAAAATGTAGATTTATAACGGTCGAGAAGTAAATTCAAATTCAAATGCAGTACCTACTGAGTAGTAGGTGATTTCGGATGCAGCCAATCATTCAATGACTGACAACAACCGACTGGAGCAGAGAGGCTTCATACAAAATAGCTGACGAGATAACAAGATAACGAGGGGCGGAGACAGTAACTGGGGCAACTGACTGAGGAAATCATGGAAATAAAAAAGGATGGGGCACAGGGGAACAACAGAGGAAATAATAGCTATGTGTCTATTCAAAGATCCGAATTGGATTCATGCACAAAACTGAAATATTGCATTAAAAGTTTCTATTTTTAGTTTTGCGTTGGCAAAACAAGCTGTTAACAGATGAGGTAATGTTAATCTGTGGCCATTTATGGCAGCCTTCTTTCTTACTGTTACTTAAAGCCGGTCCCACATATGTAAGAAATTTAAGTTTTGTTCTAATTGGCTTGTTTTTCATTGGCCTGCGGTTTTTCATTAAATAAGTTTCCATCAGTTTTCATCCAATGAGTCAAAGAGAACAACATTGCCACTTCATGAAAAAACTGGCACTAAATATAAAAAAAAAGCTGCAGGAGAATTCACAGTGAGCTTTTTTTCCTTATATAATAAACAGGGCCGTAGCCAGGCAGGGTTCGGGTGGTTCAAAAGACCCACCCAGAACTGATAAAGTCCAGAACTTGGCCTTTATACGTGCTGGTTTGTCCCATTTTTGACTGCTAAGCCATCATAAATTATGAAAATTACAGCTAGAAGAAGGCTTTAAGACAAATAATTTTTTTAATTATTCAAGTGGCCAAATTCTGACTGAGGAAAATTGAATGAAATGACCAGTTTTTTATTTGTCTATAGGCTAAACTTTTTAGTTTAAAACAAGTTTTACCAGATCCCTGTTTTTTATTTATTTTTTTAAATTAGGGATGATAATAAATTTGTATTTAAAAATAAGTATTTTTTCATATATATTTTATTTTTAATATTTTATTTAAAATGTTAATCCCGTAACAATATATCTCAAGTTTAATAATTTGCATTTGAAATGCAAATTTGTAAATAAATACTTTGCAATAAAATAGTACCATAAGCACATATTTTTAGTACATCAAAAAGTGTGGTTATGATAACCATCCGATAAGCTGATCCAGCAAAAATGCAGTATTTAAACCTTGCATGAGGCAAATAACTGCAAAAAAAGGTCTACCTTTTCAGAAAATAGAACCACCTCTTTCTGGGCTGGCTACGTGCTTAATAAATTACTTGAGCTTCAGAAGACGAAGAAATGCAATGAATGTGTAACACTGGAAGTTAATAATACTGAACCACTTTGATGACAGACTTTGACTGAAGCATTTTAGAATGACCAAAACCACATTTCAGATGTTTTATAATGTGTGCTGATTTGTCCATTAATATATATAATGTTATATAATATGATATAATATATATTTTTAAATGTTTAATCGTAGTTTATCATAGTATAATTGTATGTGCATTTCATCTTATTAGATAAAAAGTTTATCCTATTTATTTTTTATGTGCATTTTCATTTTCATATTTCATTTCTGGGTTTCATTTTTATCTTTTCATTAAGCATGTTGTTCATGTAATATTTCAAAATAAGCATAAAAAAGTAGATGGAAACACAGCTACCGAGGACATGGTGAACATTAGAGCATTTTTTTCATAAACATAAACAATATCCCAGTTTTCCTTATGTCAATTTGATATAAACAGTAGACCGGCATGTGATTAGACCATGCAGACAACATCACTAAACACCGTTCATGATTAGAATTGCTAATCTACTCTACATGATAGGTCAGAGTCAGTATTAATTATCTCTGTCACTTCTACAAGCTCACCTGCAGGATCGGGGCCAAGAAAATAGACACTCCTGTCAGCACAAAGACCAGGATTCCTGTCAGTCTTTGTTCCCTGTAATTGGAAGAGAAGAAGTAAGAGAGACACTACAGAGATAATAGAGGCATGCTGTGAGTAAAGAACTGTGATTCTGGATATATACTGAAAGGCTACAGTTTTATTCTGTTTGCATAATCTGTATTCACATTAACAAATTAGCATGACTGTCAGATCATATTGTCCAGTGTCTTATTGTGGACTTTCTTAAACATCACATTAACCACTGATGAAAAGTGTCCATTTCACACCCATTTATTTCAGCAATTGTCATATGTATCAGTTGCTTAAGTAGTTTATTGCTGTCTTTTAAGGGGTTGGCTTCAGTTTAAACTGATTACAGTTTGATTAAATTGTATTTTTTGCACAATCAAGTATGCCCTCATGCTGTAATAATCTACTAAATGTTATAATTTATGGCTTTTTTTTAAAGCAAATTTTACGAGTTGCTTTTATTTATATTGAACTTTTTACAATACAGATTGTTTATTTTAAATTATTTTTCATTTTTTCATAATTACTAGTTTAATGATGATATTACTGTTATAATCACCAGCAGTATTGCACTTGCAGACTCCTGGAGAACACTCACATTCAACAGCACTACATATCCCATCACACACCTCACATACACCAGTTCCAGTTCCTGCCAACACTCCCGTTTTCCCAGAAGTCTCCCGTATTTCAGACCCATCTTCCGCCACCCGGGAAAAATTACATATTTCACCCCTCCCTCCTTTTAGTACAGTCTGTAACACCCTCTGGTCGTCAACTTTGGTATGATATCCGATCGCAGCGATCTCTCGAAACCCAGTCCATAGTACAATTACTAACACAGTACAGTAAAGTTACTAACCCAGTTCTCAACAGTGTTATTCAGACACCTCCCCCCTGAACCCTGACCCCCCAACCCCCATTATTCAGAGCAAAATTATAGGCTATGAAATGTATCAAATGAGTCTTCTAAATATGTCTGACAATAATTTTATTACACGTAATGACATTTCACACTGTGTATTCTATAAAACATGGTAAATATTAATAATTTAAATAAAAAAATAAATAAAAACACATAAATCTGTATTGCACTTTAAATTTGCACTTTAAGCTTTTAACTTGCATGGCATGTATTTTTATTTGAAAAGCTCGGATTCTACACTCACTTTATTGGGTACACCTGTCCAACTGCTTGTTAATGCAAATTTCTTATCAGCCAATCATATGGCAGCAACTCAATGCATGCGTGATGCTGTCATGTCAATATGGAGCAAAATCTTTGAGGAATATTCCCAGTACCTTGTTGAATTTATGCCGCGAAGGATAAAGAGAGTTCTGAAGGCAAATGGGTCCAACGCTGTACTAGTAAGATGTACCTAATAAAGTGGCCGGAGTGTACATTTGGAAATAAAATGTATAAACTGATCTGAGATTAGATAACTGATATCAATCTTCACTAACATGAAAACATTCCTGTTTACTGAAATCATGTGACTTTGCTACTTTGATATGGAAATCATTAATGTTTAGTTTCATGCAATAGCTTTATGGCTTATGTTCAGATTTTCAGATTTGCACTAAAGTGAAATAATCTGCCTTTGAGTTCTCTACAGTATCATTCTGGTCAGGTTTATCACAGCATAGTTACAGCTAAAAACATTCTTTTCTTTTTTTTCCTGCATAAAGCACTTTCTGCATCAGACACTCTAAATGTAGGAGCACAATCCACACCTGCTGCAGTTGACAAACAAGTAGTGCGTGCCTCACCTCACACCCAAGAACTGTGGCTGTTCCCCTGGAGCACTAGACTCGCTCTCCATCTTCAGTGAATCAATGTGAGCGATGGAAATGACAGTGGCCGCAACATACCACGGCAGACCCATAAAAGAGCAGGCTGCCATCAGAACGCCAACCCACAATAGATCCAGATGATACCCACAGCCTTTCTGTAAAAACAAAAAAAAAAAAAACTGAAAAAGAATGTGAGGAAATCAGTGGAAATAAAAAAACTGGGGTGATTAAAGTGGCCATAGAATAAAAATCTGGATATACCTAGACATAGCTGAATGATAAGAATTTAGTACATGATAATGCTATACAGTGAGACACGAATACCATTGTTTTCTCAATCTCATGTAAATCAATGTAAAATCTCAGGCCAATCGGAAAAAATCACTAATATTTCCTATGTATGTGGGACTCTTATTTTGAAAGCTTTACAGGCTTTAAGGAACATTAAAAGGGCTGCCGTACAAGACCATGGAGTAACGTTATCCCATCCAGAGAAAACAGATAAAGTCACTTTAACCTTATCTTTTTCTAAGTTCAATGTGTGTATTGTTGTATTTTGAAATGTTTCGTTCCTTAACTTTAACGTCTTTACCACTTCAGTTAAACTGATTATCATTTGACAAGACATCCAATCAGTTTGTTCAAATTTTTTTTGACAACTTAAAATTATTTTGACCATATATATTTCAGAGTACATCACGCTGTGAGAGTGTCTAATCCGAGGGCAACATGAGAGAAGAGCTCATTAATATTCACAACCCTTCCAAATAAGGTCAAAACAGAGGTTTTTATTCTAGGCCCAATTTCTAAATGGATTTTTCTAGTTTCTATATTTATTTTACATGTACCTAAGCCACAAACTTTCTGTGTATATATCAGAAAACAATTTAAACATAATGTATCAATGCATACTATGGCACTTTTAAAAGGGACCTTTTATGCCCCTTTTTACAAGATGAAAAATAGTTGAGTGTTTAAATACCCCACAAATAATTGTTTATTACTCTTTGAAACTGCCCCTTCTAGGCTTTATTCTTAATTCACCCTTTGCTAAGCCACACCACACCAATCATGGCTTAGCAACCATAACTATGCACAGGAGGTCTGTCAAGCTTTCGAGCGAGGGAAACAAGCCGCTATAAAAATGACTAAAGCTATTTACTGTAAAGTCTGTGGGACGGGGTTTGCAGGTAACAGTGTTTGCCACTGAATCTACATATTTTAAGCATAAGAGGTACTGTATAATCCTTCATTTAATCCTCACGATGCTGTCAGCCTTGCAAGTGGCAGCTATATGTAAAATTTAACACAGCTCATGAAAAGACCGTTGTTGCTATTAAGATGACATGCAAATAATAAGTTATTTATCAATATAAATGTGGGGCGGGGCTATGTCAGCTCAGCATCGTGAAGTTTTGGCCATCGGCGATGGTCGATGACATTGTCTATCAGCCCAACCCAACCTCCGATGACATGTACAAGGAAGAAACTCAAAATAAAGTGTCTCTGTAGACTCTTTTTTACAGTGTGAGATTATAAAAAAACAGCTTAACCCCCTTATAAAATATTTTTGAATATTAGGTCCCCTTTAAAATAGCAGCAAACTGCATGGAGACCTTTAACTTGTTTTCCTTCCGGTTGACGATAACAGCGCTGATCTGCTGATCCATGAAGATAAGGATGGTGACGAGGAGAGCAGGGACGAAGCTTGCCAGGTAAACCCACCATGGATTCTTTCCAAATGGCATCACAAACCATCCTCGGTCAGGACGTGTGGGCTACATGATTGAAAAAAAAATAAAACAAAACAATGTGTTGGAATAAAATTATAAGGAACTTCATTGAAAAAGTCACACAACATCAACCTAATTTATACTCTCACCTTGAACTCGGTAGGCACAATGAGTTTGGGTGTTTTCAAACCTATTAGCATGTCCAGACCCACAAACGTCATGATGGACATGAAGATGGAGAAGTCACTAATTAACTTCCTCAACTGGATAGACAAAAAAAAAAAATAGGTATTTTATTAAATATGAATTAGACATGTAGTTGCAGCTTCAGAAATATAGCAGCACAGTGTTGCTAAAGAGCTACATTTTTTCCTGAACCCCATAATGCTTTGCGTGGATTATAGGAGTATCTTCCAATAAACTCTAAACAATCAGCAAAGGGTTTTAAAGGAGTGTGATCAATGAGCTGTCCAGTATATCCATCCATTTTCAAAAGGAAAGCTATTATTTAACAAATGACTTTCAGCAGACTATGAATAAACCCAAAATCTCAAAACAAGAATTTCCACAGCAATTTTACACACTTAAATGTAATATTACAGTTGGGAATACAAAGAGAAAATAATCTTTAGAAACAAATTACAATGAACTTTGCTGGTAGATATGCTTGTGATGCTAAAATACCAAGCATAATATTTCCATTGGCATTTTCTCCTGTGAAAATTTATTTTCTTTTAAAAATATTTCCCAATTTCCCAAAGGTCTTTTTTTTTTAGTTGGGCTAGAATGCTTTTCATTTAAAAACAAAACAAAAACAATATATATATATATATATATATATATATATATATATATTACCATCAATATATTACCAAAGAAACTCCAAAGATGAAATGTTGAACACTGTGTTTAATGAATAGAAGCACACATACTGAGCCATCACATGGCAGAACAGCATTATACAACAGAATACAAAACCAATGAGGTTTGGGCACTTTTTGTGCTAAACATGAAATCTAAATAAATAAAAAATAGTTTTTTTTTAGAAAAGTTCTACTAAAGTTTTACTGGTATTAGTAAATGGTTAACAAACTATGAACAACTGATTGGTAAAGTGAGAGTTAATATATTAGTTAAGTGTTAGTTATTAGAAAATGTATGTTACTGCAGCCTCATCTCACAAGGAAACGTAAGTATTGTACGTTTTGTCAGTTTAGTGGCTAATTCGCCCAAGCTCAGCCATTTGAAAATGTAAGATTTTAAAAAGGAGTTGTGGCACCTAACCTCACCCCTAATACCAACCGTGATTGGGTGATGAGCAAATCGTACTAAATTGTACTAATTAGATCGTATGAATTCATACGAATTAGCCACTTAATCAAAAAGTTACGAATTGCCGTGAGATTGCGCTGATTATTGGGGCGTTATTCCAACGTTGCAACTATTCCTCATTTACTAACAGTTAATAAATAAAGAATAGCTGCAACTTTAGAATAACATCCCAATAACATATATAAACTATTATCTGATACATAAAAAGTCTTTAGTAAGTAATTAACTAACAGCTTGTTCGTGATCTATTACTAATTTATTAGTATACGGTTATAACTTATTAAAATACAGTTAACAAGTCATTTATAACTTGTTAACTAACAGCTATTGGATATCTTTAAGACAGTTATAAATAAAAAACTATTAACTTTTATTTAACAAGTCATTTATAACTCATTAACTAACAGTTTATTAATGGACCGTTAACTAGTTATAACGGATTGTGATTTTAAAGTGTTACCGACTCATGTTGTAGTTTAAGTAAGCTGATGATTAGCGCATACATTACCTCATCAATAGTTCATAATACAGTAATGTTTAGTTTACATATTAGCACATCATCATTCATGTTCTGTAAAGTGTTACCAACTGAATAATATTTTATTGTAAAATAAATAGTAAAATATTATGTGCTGTAATCATGACAAGGAGAAAGTAAATCAGTTAATAATTATTATGTCTAAACAACACTTGGGAAATATTTTTAAAACAATTCGAATTTTACAAGAGAGCTAATCATTTTGATTTCACTTTTCACTATGGATACAGATTATTTGTACTGCAACCTTTTCATCTGAGGTAATTGTTTCAGTTAGTTTGAAAGGAAGTATCCCAAACAGGATGTGCAACCCTTAATTCAACCACAATAGTAATATGTGATAAAAGGAGGATTCTGGGCTGCAAACTTGCCACTTTTTGATCAATTTGGCTGTTTTGAATGCAGAAACGAATGTCAATACCCTCATTACCTTGTTCACCTGTCATGATGTTGCTTTAGGTGGTTTTATCGCTACAAAAGATCCTACTGATCTTACAAAATCCCTTCAGTTATTATGATCAGGCAGAATGAAAGAGCCAACATTATGGTATGCAAGATACAGTAAGTCTCAAGGGTTTTGGCATGGCAGAGGGAAACTTTTAGATGAACAGACATGTCTAAGATACTAATGAGGACGAAGTGAAAGATGGAAGAGTACAAGTGTAAAATAAATATGAGTTTGATTCAAGGGTCTTACCTTAGTGGGAAAGTAGCGACTAAATTTGAACTTCTTCAGAGTGACAGTCATGGTGTAAGTGCCGCAGAACAAAATGAAGGACATTAGAGCAAGATCTGGAACATATTTGCAGGACTGTCCCACCAGTGAGCCTCCGTACTTCACACACTCCTTCTTACTCAACTGAGTCCAGTCCAGAGCTGTGATATTGAACTGAGAAGAACAGGAGAAACGCAGAGAAAATAAAGGTAGAAATCGGGGACAGGAGGGAGGAATGTGGACAGGGCAGAAATGGAAGGATTTTGTTGTGGAGAAATGGCAAAAAAAAGAGAAAAAGAGAGAATAAAAAAGGACAAGGCCAAACAGAAAGTAATACAGCAGAGCAAGATGAAAGAATGCTTTGAAATAAACTAATTAGACTTTACTTATCAAGGCATGGTATGAAACAAATTATTAGTACCTATGTTTCCCTCTGAAGTATTGTTTATGTGCATTTTTGAGATTTTGAATGAAAAGAAATGCCAAATAAAAAGACAAGAATGCACAAAAATGTGCAGAATACATCTAAAAAGCCATGAAATTAATGAAGTGAAATCACATTTATCAAGTAAAATTGAACAAAATGCACTTAAATATTTTGATCAATTTACAGTTTTCTTAGTATTATTCATCCAAACTTAGGCATCCAAACAAAAGATATCAGTGTCTTTTATTATGTTTTTCAGTTTTTTTATTTTTATTTTTTTATTGTCTATAAGCTGAGCATCAAATAATTTATTATCAAGGAATGAAGCTACAGTGGTTTCCCTAGTTGCAGCATCTTACAGTACATTTTTAGGGAGCTGTATGTAAGTATTTTAAGTGTTAAATATATTTTAATATGCGTAAATGTAGAATCAAATTGACTTCATCCTGTAATTCTACTGTCATAGCATTCTTTCCAAAGTATTTCCAGAACTAAATATGATGTATTTCTGTTTTTTTTTATGTATATTGTCTGCAAGCTGAGCATCAAATAATTTATTATCAAAGAATGAAGCTACAGTGGTTTCCCTAGTTGCAGCATCTTACAGTACATTTTTAGGGAGCTGTATGTAAGTATTTTTGTCATTCATATATTCATTTTCTTTTAGGCTTAGTCCCTTTATTAATCTGGGATCGCCACAGCGGAATGAACCACCAACTTATCCAGCATATGTTTTACGCAGCGGATGCCCTTCCAGCTGCAACTCATCACAGGGAAAGTAAGTACCTTTAAGTGTTAATTATTTTATATTCGCATGAATAGAATCGATTATGACTTCATAATTCTACTGTCATAGCAGTCTTTCCAAAGTATTTCCAGTACATAATGTATTTCTGTTTTTTTTTTTTATTGTGTGTTGTCTGCAAGCTGAATCTCAAATAATTGAATACAAAGGAATGAAGCTACAGTGGTTTCCCTAGTTGCAGCATCTAATTCTACTGTAATAGCTGTCTTTCCAAAGTAATTCCGGAACAAAATATGATGTATTTCTGTTTTTTATTTATTTATTTATTTATTTATTTATTTATTTATTTATTTATTTATTTATTTATTTTTATTGTATGTTGTCTGCAAGTATCAAATAATTTATTATCAAGAAATGAAGATACAGTGGTTTTCATAGTTGCAGCATCTTACAGTTCATTTTTGGAAGCTGAGGTGTGTGTAAATATTTTTAAGTATTCATTTTTTTTAATACCGACCATGTGAACAGCTACACTATAGTATAGCACTGTAGTTTCACATTGCCAAATCTGTACAGCCTGTAGAATCAAACTGACTTCATAAGTCTACTGTCATAGCAGTCTTTCCAAAATATTTCCGGAACAAATAGTATGTATTTCTGTTTATTTTCATTGTATGTTGTCTGCAAGCTGAGTCTTGAATGATTTTTAAGGAACTTTATGCATGTATTTTTATGTGTTAATTATTTTTTTTAATGCCAACATGTGAACAGCTATACTATAGTATAGCACTATAGTTTCACATCACCAAATCTGCACAGTCTGTAAAATCTAGGAATGAAGCCACAGTGGTTTCCATAGTTGCAGCATCTCACAGTACATTTTTACTGCATGGAAGCATTTTTAAGTGTTAATTATTTTTTAATACCAACAGGCGAACAGCTATAGTATAGTATAGCACTATAGTTTCACATTGTCAATCTGTACAGGCTGTAGAATGAAGCTACAGTGGTTTCTCTGGTTGCAGCATCATACATTTTATTTTATCCTTTTATATTATTGGTTACGTTATAATTTGCACCAGTTTTCCAGAGATTGACAATTCTGTTTTTATTTGCTGGCTAATTATTTGTGCAACTTATAGCAACTTCTGATGGAAACATAGCTATTGCAGGTTATAAAATCAGTGATTGTTAGAGCATATGCAGTGGTCTCTAATGAGGTCATGCTAACACAGAAGTGAGTGAGGTGAAGACATTAGGCACTTACACCAAAGAGAGCAGAGGTATTATCTGGCACTGGGACTACAACATCGAAGATCATTGTTGCCACTGAACAAACAGAGAGAGGGAGAATCAGAGAGGAAAATGAGCAGAACCAATGGAAATCTGAATATTATTTGTTAGCAGGATTTATCCAGGATCAAAGCCAGCTAAATGTAATGAAATGTAAATGACTGCAGGTGAATTGTCACTTGCTTTTTCTAACAATCCAGTACGCTCAGACTACTTTCAAAAGACCTCAGTGATGTTTTTCATTCATAACTGCAGGCAATTTGACTTTGAGGACAAACTCATAAAACATGCTATGTGTGCAGTTTAAACTCATCCGTATTTAAAAAGTACTCACGTCAATCAGAGGCCACGTATGGGGGTTTGCAGCAAAAACAAACATAATGCAAATAAGTTACAATAATCATGAACACTCACACAGTTCTCTTTATAAAGGCCTTTTTAAACAAGAAATTGCCATTGTAGAATTAAATGAAAGTTTAAAAAAAAATTATTTATTCACCAGCACTTTACAATAAGGCTTGATTCATTATTCAAATCTGTATGAAGGAGCTGTATGTAAGTATTTTTGACTATTTAGTATTTTTTTTAAACTATTAGTCTAGCACTATACTTTCACATTGTCAAATCTGTTCAGTTTATAAAGTTAAATTGACTTATTTCTGTATAAAATTAAATTGACTTATTTCTGTATAAAATTAAATTAACTTATTTCTGAAGTATTTCCGAAACATAACATGTATATGTTTTTGTTTTTCTTCTCATCAGTGTGATTTCATCATGTGTGACTTACAGTCATGACTTATACTGTAGAAAATTCTACATTAAAAAACAACTATAAATGAAATTATAATAAGTTTCATAAACATTTATGTATCATGAACAAATCTGAGTTAAGATTTATGAATGTTGAATTAAAAAAATGTAAAGATTAAATCAAACTAGACTATAAATCATTGCAAATGTATTATATCTAACACATTAAACAAAGTTAACTAATTATGCCTTGTTGTAAAGAGTTCCCATTCATTCTTAAGGGGGTTGCACACTGGATGCGCCACCAACCATCGTGCCAGATTTCTATTAGGGTATGCACACCAGTGCCGCAAGTTAGCAGCTGTCTGCGGCACCTAGCTACAACATAGGACACTGTTCATACTACTGCCGCACCACAGAGCGCCATCTGAAAAGTTTCATATTAAATAACATTCAAATGCGTGCGTCTGGTGTGTGATACTTCCAACTGTCATCCGCATCCGGTGTACGACCCGCTTTAGGGATCATTTACATGACAACATTTTTAACCAAAAATGGGAAAGTTTTTATACTTTTGCCTGTTCATTTGCATGACAACATCATTTTTGGGCCTGAAAATGCATAAATCTGAAGAAAATGGAAGTTTTTTTTTTTTTTAAAATGCCACCATTGTCGTGTCTGTGTAAAAACCTGAAAATCAGAATATGTGAAAATAATGAGATCACCCAGACGTATAGTAGGAGTTTCTAGATGAGCAGATTAAAGAAAAGTGCACACAAACATACACAACAATGGTGGAGTACATGGTAGTGTTGTACATGGTGGAGTACATGGTATTTTTGTTACTCGGGTATTTCCAAATGCTTCATCTGCTAATTGTGCATTTATTTCACAATTGTGCATTTGTGCATAATTGTGCATTTATTTCACATTATTTCAATCTTACACGTGGCAAATTGTACATGCACACCAATGCAAAACTCCAACGGCGGGTTGTCACTTCCTGACAGGCACTGTTTACTAACATCGTGACTTCGTAAATACTGGTCCAACATACAGTTGAAGTCAGAATTATTTGCCCCCCTTTGAATTTTTCTTTCTTTTTAAAAATATTTCCCATTATTAAAAACAGAACAAGGAAATTTTCACAGTATGTCTGATAATATTTTTTTTTCTGAAGAAAGTCTTATTTGTTTTATTTCGGCTAGAATACAGCAGTTTTTAATTTTTATATTTATAAATTTATATATTTTTTGATTGTCTACAGAACAAACCATTACCCTAACCTGCCTAGTTAACATAATTAACCTAGTTAAGCCTTTAAATGTCACTTTAAGCTGTATAGAGGTGTCTTCAAATATTTAGTCAAATATTATTTACTGTCATCATGGCAAAGATCAAATAAATAGATATTAGAGATGAGTTATTAAAACGATTATGTTTAGAAATGTGCTGAAAAAAAAACTTCTCTCTGTTAAACAAAAATTGGGGAAAAAATAAACAGGGGGGCTAATAATTCTGACTTAAGCTGTACATAATGCAGCATTTTGGGCCATTTTTGTGCATCATTTTGAAAAACAATTGAAAAGCTCATCCCTTTTTGGCTACATCGTTGTCATGCAAACGTAGCCTCAGATAACATCAATCTTTATGTAATAAACTGAATTCACTTCATAATTACAGGAACGCTTCAAAATCGCATGTGGTCTAAGCCAGCATTGGACTTACTCGGGTCTGGTGCCACACACTCGCACTTGTAGGCCGTAACGTAGTCCGGCTTGAAGTCAGTGTTGATGGGGTAATATTTAAAGGAGCCCACCATCTTCTTGATGGCGTCAGAGATGAAGATGAAGGAGATGAGACTAGAGAAGCCCTCCTCCGTAAAGCGCGTCATGTACTTTATGATGTAACTGGCATCCGTGGCCACCAGGATAAAGCACTGAATGCAGGAGTGAATGCCGATCCACAGCCGGAGCTCCATGTAATCAATCGCATTATTTCTGAGGACAAAAAAGTTTCAAGAAACAATAAGTAGAGATAAATACGAGAGCGGTAAACTCGAAAGAGAAGTGACTTTTTTGAATCAGTGAAGAGAGATGATTTATAAGGGCCTTTTATTGGCTTGATGAAAGTGAGCAATCAAGGCTGGACTTTATTGTCCTCAATAATGGCCTGTGAAATGATGATGGATTGGTGTGGATGCTGCTTCTCTCACTTGCTGAATTCATAAAGCAGTTTCTCGAAGATGAGGATGGGCCCTGTTGAGCTGAGAATAATGAGGGGTTGACCGCCAAAAACGCAGAATACTGTTCCTGCTAAAGCGGTGCCCAAAAAACTCTCCATTACACCCTGATAGAGAGAGAGAGAGAGGATAGAAAAAAGAAATGGGCTATAGATGAAGCTAGGACACAAGTGTGCTTGTAAAATGCTCCATGAAGAGACGATGGCATGCAACATTAAACAAACTGTCATGTTTAGTGTCAGGTATAAAAGTGCGAGGTGTACCTGGTAATTGTCTGTGGCATCCCCTAGAAGGCCCCCAAAGGTGATTGCATTGGTTATGCAGCCCAGGTAGATGAAGAGCACCGCGGAGATAGACTGAATGTGGAAACCTTCATAAAAGTCACTCGGGTACCAGGGGAGCTTCCGCTTCATGTCAAGAAAAAGGCCGCCACAGAACCTGTGCCGTAAACATAGACGTTTCCTCCATTATTCAGCAGAGACAGGTCCTCTTTGACTTGTACTTCATAGACAGAGGAGAGCTTGATCTTGATTATCAGCATTGAAAAATGGCACCCATTTCTGTCTCCAAGTTATAGCCTATGGCACTAGTGGCTAAAAATCGCATTAGGCTTAGATATGAACTCTCCTGATCCTAAGAGCTCTGGAGTATCTTTCAATTATTTGCAAAGACAGATAAGGCAAGAACACTTTGAGCTCCCGAAACTCAAACTATACCTAAAAGTGAGATTTTTTTTTCTTCTTTCAAACTTATAGCCAAAAGGGTTTTAAAGACTCTTAAAGGTCGCTGTACAAGAACATTAGGTTCTGAGGATCAATTTATAAATATTGCAGCTTGCAGGGTTGTTTGAGCCATTCAGAATTGAACTGCACATACCATTTAGAGATCAGTTAAATTCTTGAGTCTTTGAGAACTGAAGTGGCCAACATAATGGAGAGTTAATGTGGGGTAAATAATAACAAAAAAGTTATGGAATATATTGGAATTCAATTATTTGTTTATATGTAATACTAAAATTTGCAGAGGAAAATCTTGAGATTTTAGAGATTGTCTAAAATGAGATTGTCGTCATATGCATTACAATTTTGAGGTACTCCCCAAAAAAGTAACTTTAGTTACATTTTATGGTAATGCTTTACCTTACTTTTGCATGACTTTTTATTACCTATCTGAGGCTTGATTAACAACGCAATTTACAATGCACTGTACAACTTTAACTTTTATTTACCTTTAAAACAAAACAATTAAAAATATATATAAAAATGATATTTTAGGATGTTATCTGAGAACTTCCTGACCCCAGAGCTATACATGCTGTACAGATTATTGAAAGTTTAAAGCAATGTGTTTTCTACTTTTGTACTATTTGTCTTCAGTAAAATCACTGTCCATTGAGATTATAATCCCCTTTTCCTTTTCTTCGATGCGTTCAAAATAATGAACACATTACTGAACATTCTCTCATTGACTGCGTGATTCATTGAATTCAGCAATTTATTTTTTCAAAGCAAATTAATTGAACTAAAAAGTAACTCGCGTTACATTTTCACAAAAGTAACTCAAATATTATTCCTTTTTTTTTTTTTAAGTAATGCATTACTTTACTGGTTACTTAAGTAATATTACCCCCAACACTAATCATTACCCTACAAATACAGCCTTTTTTGTAATGTAGCCTTTTTTCATACATATCTAAAGTAAACTTATGGTTACCCTATTATTAAGTTATGTTTTGCCAACAGAAAGTTGCTAGGCAACACACACATTAATGTAAAAAATGGGAGAAAAAAACAGATTAGCTGAATAAACTCTGACGATGTGAACATTACACCTACGTGATTCTATTATGCTTGCCTTGCTTTCTGTTGGTTACTAGGTTACCAATACCACAATCAGCTGCTCTAACAACCTGGAGGAAATGCACCTAATTCGCTTTTGGTCTTGTGAAAAGATTCACTTCATGTTACGATGGAAACTCAGCTAATGACACAAGCAGAGAAAGATATATTAGACATAAGAGCTGCTGACAAAAGAGTGTTTTCTTTTTCTCCCTACATTCACTTAAGACATTACCAATTGTCTAGAGGATTTTTGCAATTTAGTGTTATTTTTTTGTATCTATTAGTTTGAAAAGAAAAAGAAAGCTAAATGTATTATTTGCCTTATATCTAATGGTTTTGTAAATGCAAGTAGCGAATGGAGAAACGTCTTTGCTCACGTCTCTTTTCTTTCCATATATTCATTCATATACATCTGAAGTCAGAAATATCCTACTGTTTTTTTCTTTCTTTTTTTAAATATTTTCCTAATTATGTTTAACAGACCAAGAAAGTTTTCACAATATATCCTATATTATTTTTTCTTCTAGATTTTTTCGTTTTTTTTTTTTTTTAATTTTGGGTATGATAAAAGCACTTTTTAAATTTTTAATTAAAAAAAAATTTTTTAAAGTCAACATTATTAGCACACTTTACAATATTTTTTTGGTTGTCTACAGAACAAGCCATCATTATACAATGATTTGCCTAATTACCCTAACTTGCCTAACTAACATAAGTAACCTAGTTAAGCCTTTAAATTGCATTTTTATACTAGCTACTTGAAAAATATCTTGTAAAATATATTGTACTGTCATCATGGCAAAGATGAAAGAAATCTGTTATTAGAAACGAGTTCATAAAACTATTATGTTTAACAAAGTGTTGAAATAATCTTCTTTTTGTCAAACAAAAATTGGGGAAAAATATACTAGGAGCAAATAATTCCAGAGGGCTAATAATTCTGACTTTAACTGTATGTGATAAACCAGCATGAGGAGTAAGAGCCTGACAATAATGTAATTTAGCTTAAAGTCTTGAACCAAAAGCATTTTACCTATTCAGTGCATTCAGAAACCCACCTCCCTGTGTAAGCCAACTCTTCGCCGAGCTCATGTGGAACAGGCATCTCTTCATCCTCTTCAATAGGCCCTCCGCCTCCTGCCGTCCCGTTCATCTGACCCAGCTCATTGAGGGAAAATACAGATTTCCTTCTCACAGAAACAACAGCAGCATTAAGACTTATAAATAAAGGCTGAAGAAAACGTAGAAGAGAAATGAGCTTTACCTTTTGTCTGCTGAGGGAGTTTTTTTGGGGGGCTCTATGCGAATTTTGGGGTCCCACTCTCCAGGTGGAAGCACAATCACCTCGTCCAGGAACTCGTCAATGCCTGCAATCAGGTCCTCCCTGTCTCTGGCTTTATATGCTACATCACTGAAGAGCTGCAGATTCAATTGGGGAAATCAATCTCAGATCACTTTAGAGGGCAGTGTGTGAGTTTATTTTCTTCTACAGGTCTATCCAGAAGAATTGCGCATAAAAGATGGCAAAAACTCACTGTAGACTATATGAATAATGATAAGTGCAAAACAAAAGATCAAACTTACATCATCCACCATGAGAGTGGCAATGGCACGTCCGATCTCATTATAAGATTTGGCTTTGCCAGGAGGCCCAAGTAGCACAAACAAGAATCTGTCCATTTAGAGAAAACATAACTGGATTTTAGTTTATTAAAGGGATAGGTCACCCCCCAAAAATAAAAATTACCTTATCATTTACTCTTTATGTGGTTTTATATGTTCATGAATTTCATTCTTCTGTTAAACACACACAAAAAATGCTATTTTGAAGACCGCTGGTTGCTGGGATCTATCGACTTTTATTACTACATCAATGGTTCTCACTAACCAAATTCTTTCAAAAAAAGAAATCCCTTTGTGTTCAACAGAAGAAAGAAATGTAGATTTTAAAGAAGTGAAGGATGAGTAAATTATGACAGAACTGTATTTTTTTTTCCTTTAAGCTTCTTCATAGTCTTTTTTATTTTGAGTTTTACCATGTATTACCTGGTGGGCACTGGGACTTCTGTCAGGCCTCCAAGAGTGGTGGCCTGAGACAGACGAACGAAGGCAACGAAGGGTTTTTCTAAGAAGTCCACTTCTCCCACCAGAACATTGGATGCTTCTGCATCTCTGGGGATTTTCTTCATGAACTTGTTCTTTAGCTGAAATGAGTAAAAAGAAATATTCATGTTGTCATTTACCCTTTCTGTTCCATCAAAGGAAATCCCTGTTGCCATTTAACCCTTCTGTTCCATCATAATGTCTCTTGTATGTTTTATGTACTAATATGACACTTTACATACTTTACATATACAGTAAAACCAGAAATTATTCATACCCCTTGGGTATAAATAACTTTAAACTTGACCGTATGCACACTGTACTAATATATACCTTTAAGATACCAGTATGGACCATTTAGGTACTTTTTTACAAGTTATTGCACCGTGACAGCTCTTGTACTTTTATTTTTGACAGTGTAGGACCCAGTGTAGGAACATTTTTATTCTATCAGTGTCAGGGTACTGCCACTCTGGTCTTGTAAATTCTTGTTTTGGTGGCAGAGCTCTGACACTACCCATGTCTGGTCCTGTTTCTGTCTCTGTGTTCGCGCGCGCCGTCGTGGGTGTACGCAGAGTGTGCGCGCTGCCGCTTGATGTGGCCGCGCGTGCTCTGCGTCCCTCAGACACGCGCGCTATTATACTAGTGTTTGTGTTTGTTCTGTCAGCATCGCGCTGCTTTATTCTCGGCGCCTCCGTCTAGTTGGTTTTGGTTGGCGCTGAGATGAAGCATGCGCGTTGCTTATGTGTGAGTACACGGTAAGGTGTTTATCTATCGTGTGCTCGTGTTTTGCGTCTTTTGTCAAAGCACGTGGCTTGGTGTTTACATTGTGGTCACGTGCTTTTGTCGTGTGCTTCAGTGTTGTGCTTGTCTTGTAATGAGCATGCGGTTAATGAGTTCTCTCATTGGCTGCATGTTCTTGTCCTGTTTTATGTGAGCGCATGGCTTGTGTTGTCTCTCTGTGTCATGCGCTCTCCCGTCTATTGTCAAGTCCCACCCTCCTTGTACTTAACTCATTATTAGTTTGTCATGTTCACCTGTATGTGTCAATTTACTTTTGCTTTAAAATCCCCTCATGTTTTGAGTCCTGTGCCAGTTCGTTGTCTAAACTCTCCATGTGTTCCTGCTCTTGTTCTTGTTGTGCCAAGTTTGTTAGTGTTAAAGTTATGTTTTTCCCCCTCGGGGTGGTTTTTGTTGTTCTTTTATTTTATTTCTATTATCAATAAATTATCCTGCATTTGCACTTGAGTCCTCGCTCCCTCATCCTTCCTGAAACCCTGACAATCACAGGATGCTTGTGTTGTATTAAATCGGTCACACTTTATTTTGATGGTCTGTTTGTTGAAATTAAGTTGCAACTCATTCTCAATAGATTATACTGTTTGGTTAGAGTTAGTGCAAGTTGACATGTATTTGGAAAGTTTCTTGTAGTCAGTTAAATGTCTGTTGACGGAGCAGTATCAACAGATATTAAGCAGACAGTCTATTAAAATAGGCAACAGACCATCAAAATAGTGTTAGCTTTAAATCAATTATAGGACCCTCATGTTGTCTTTTAACCCTTTTATTCCCCTATTCCCCTACAGGACCCTTGTGTTGTTATTTACTATTTTTTTTCTATTATTGGACACTTGTGATGTCATTTAACAGTTGTGTTCCATCACAGAAATCTAATTTGATGTTTTATGCCATCAGTTCTGTCATGGTCTTTTGCATGACTTCTGAAAAGACGCATGATTTTAATCTTTTATGTAAAAAATATCTTCTACACAAACGAACCAGTGTTCTGTTCAAACCAAATGGGTTATTTCATTATGTAAATGACATTATCATTCTTTAATCAAAATCCTTTCACGTGCTAATAATCAGGAACTGCACACTTACAAACAAAAGCTGATTTACTGCTGTTCATGCTCTGTGAAACTCAACAGAAAATGTGCTATTCCCACACTGGCTTGTGCTATTCTAAACTCTCAAACTAAAATATCTGCAGCCTTTATCATTTGGAAGACAGCAGAATTCCTTCTAAAGCCCTTGAGTAAAGCACAGTCTGGATTTAGATGAGTAATTCTGCTTTCCTCCTGTTTAACTCTGAACAAATTGTGACCAAACATGTTACAGCGTTCACATGGAAAGATAGTATCAGAAAGACACATTGTGTATCAGGGATAAATAAGAAACTGGTTCAGGAAGGCTTTGCTGTTTTATCTGGCTTACAGGGCGCAATGTGTTGAGGTCTATTCCAAGAAACAAAAATAGTTTGGCATCTTAATAAACAAAACAACGTGAAATGGGTTTGGATATGAATTTAGGTCTCTTTATTTCTATAGTAGGACTAGATTTAAAATGATAATTGTATTTAAAGGTGATTTAAATGTTCAGTATTTCTTTAATACTAGTTTGATTTTTTTAAATGTTATTAAAAGCAGCCTGTTGTCTGCAAGGCTGAATTTATTTAATCTAAATTACAGTTATATAGAGATATAGACATTTAAGAATTAAGACCCAATACAATATTGCTCATTGTTTAGGGCTTTTTTAAATGCACTAAAAAATGGTTGAAAGATGATTCCTTAGATTAACTATTTTTTTATTAGGTCTAGTGTTTGTAAACAATATATTTGGGCTGAATTTAAACAAACAAATTAATTTAAACATAACTAAATTTAATTTTTTTGTTTAAATTGAACCCATCTAAATTGTTTGCAACAATTTTGTAGAAATAATTTTTTTTCAGTGTGCTTAAAGGTCTGATTTTTTAATTTTAGACCCCATGGAAATTCTATTACAATGTTAAATGAGTGATTTCTATTTTAAATGTTTTCTACCACTAAAATATTTGGTCAGGATTCTTTGATTTAAGAAAAAATGACTTAAAATTTTGGCTAAAAGATTTAACAGTGTTTTGGTTAAGCTTTTCTCTGATGTAATGAATATATAGGTTATTTATATGATTATACACTCACCGGCCACTTTATTAGGTACACCTGTCCAACTGCTTGTTAATGCAAATTTCTTTTCAGCCAATCACATGGTAGCAACTCAATGTATTTAGGCTTGTAGACATGTTCAAGACAATCTGCTGAAGTTCAAACCCATCAGCAGAATAGTGACTTTGAATGTGGCATGGTTGTTGGTGCCAGACGGGCTGGTCTGAGTATTTCAGACACTGCTGATCTACCTGGATTTTCATGTACAACTATCTCTAAGGTTTACAGAGAATGGTCTGAAAAAAAAATATCCAGTGAGCGGCAGTTCTGTGGGTGCTAATGCTTTCTTGATACCAGAGGTCAGAGGAGAATTGCTAGACTGGTTCAAGCGAATTAAAAGGCAACAGTAACTCAAATAACCACTCGTTACAAGATATGCACAAGAGCATCTCTGAACACACAACACGTCAAACTCAGAGGCGGATGGGCTACAGCAGCAGAAGACCACACAGGGTGCCCTCTTGTCAGTTAAGAACAGGAAACTGAGACTAAAATTTGCTCAGGCTCACCAAAATTGGACAATAGAAGATTGGAAAAACGTTGCCTGGTCTGATGAGTCGTAATTTCTGCTGCAATATTCAGATGGTAGGGTCAGAATTTGGCATCAACGACATGAAAGCATGTACCTATCCTGTGTCGTATCAATGGTTCAGGCTAGTGGTGGTGTAATGGTGTGGGGGATATTTTCTTGGCACAATTTGGGCCCAATAGTACCAATTGGGTATCGTGTCGAAGCCACAGCCTACCTGAGTATTGTTGCTGACCATGTTCATCTTTTTAGGACCACAGTGTACCCATCTTTTGTTGTCTACTTCCAGCAGGATAAGGCAACATGTCAAAAAGCATGAATCATCTCAGACTGGTTTCTTGTACATGACAATGAGTTCAATGTACTCAAATTATCTCCACAGTCACTAGAAATAGAGTACTCAATAGATACTTAATCCAATAGAGCACCTTTGGGTCATGAAGGATTGACGCAGTTCTTAAGGCAAAAGGGTGTCCAACCCAGGAGTAAGGTGTGCCTAATAAAGTGGCCAGTAAGTGTAAAAGTTAATTATCCTGCATGTTCAATGTGTTCAGATTGTCTTCATATATGCTGCAGTGTTTTTTTTTTTATTCCAGCTATTAGTTTGCAGGGCCACACGACTAACAAACAAAGATTTAAATGACATAATCTTTCAAAATAATTTCAATTTATTTTTGTGAACAAAAGCAAAACATAAATCAGTGGGTACACCCTTGTACGCTGTGCGCCTATGAACAAAATGGAGACAGTGACACCATTTTGAAGAGCTCCCGGGTGTCTCTCTGCATGTGAGAGCGTAGCACGAGGACCGCACAATCAGATGAGCACGTTTCCCCGATGTAAGATCAATACTGACCCAGACACCAGGCCACATTACAGCACAGCACATCAGATGGCCGGTACCACACACACTTATACATACTGTAGCATTCCCTTCATATGAAACAATCTATAACGTTTGCCATTTACATATTTAGCACAAAAGCAGATTCAACAAAAGCCGCACTACATTACCCAAAACTGGTGAATGGCACCACATTATTCAGTCATTTATTAATTCATTTTCTTTTCGGCTTAGTCCCTTTATTCAGGGCTCACCACAGCGTAACGAACGGCCAACTTATCCAGGATGTGTTTTATGCAGCGGATGCCCTTCAAACCACAACCCAGCACTAGGAAACACCATGTTATTATAACATTAAAAACATCAAATCTACTATGGCAGTAACTTGTCAAGAACTTTAAGCTACATTGCATCTACATGCCAACTAATTCTCATTGGATTATACGTAAACTGTTAGGTTGGAGTTAGAGATGAGGGTTAAGTTGACATGTTTTCTATAGTCAGTTAAATGTCTGTTGAAGGAGCAGTATCAGCAGATATTAAGCAGTTTATTGATACTCAAATGAGAATTAATTGGCATGTACTTTAATTGAAATGCAACTTTTAATTGACAAAATGCACAATTGGGACCATCAAAATCAAGTCCTAAGAAATGAATCTTTAGAAATTAAAACATTCAAATAATTTTGCTGATAAATTAGTATAATTGTTGTATAAAGAATCAAAGTATATACACTTTAATGTAGAAATTATTATTTTCAGGCTGTACTGTGATCCTTAAATCGAGTATTTTAATCAGATGATTCTGTAAAGTATGATAGTATGTAAGCTATTTTTACATGGAATTAATTAGTTTTAGGTGTCTTCGGTAAATCATGGTAAATATACAGTTAAAGTCAGAATTATTTGCCTCCTTTTCTGATTCTGACCCCAACTGTACATGTCTTTAGAGGTTTCAACACATTTCTAAACATAATAGTTTTAATACCTCTTTTTTAATAACTGATTTATTTTATCTGCGCCATGATGACAGTAAATAATATTTTTCTAGATATTTTTCAAGACATTTCTATATAGCTTAAAGTGACATTTAAAGGCTTAACTAGGTTAATTAGGTTAAGTAGGCAGGTTAGGGTAATTAGGCAAGTTATTGTATAATGATTGTTCTGTAGACTATCAGAAAAAATATAGCTTAAAAAGGGTAATAATTTTGACCTTAAAAAGTTTTTTTTTTTTTTTTAATTTAAAACTGCTTTTATTCTGGCAGAAATAAAACAAATATGACTTTCTCCAGAAGAAAAAATATGATCAGACATACTGTGATAATTTATTTGCTCTGTTAAACATTATTTCAGAAATATATATATATATATATATATATATATATATATATATATATATATATATATATATATATATATATATATAAAAGGCTGTATAGAGGCTGTATATACAGTATATTATGTCAAAACAAACTTATTTTAGATACAATTAATCACGATTAATTTTTCCTCAGCGATAATAAATCCGTTATTATACTTTTTCCACCTTTACTTTTTAGATTCATAATGATTTTTTTGACACTTATATTAAGAAAACATATTTATTTTGTTTTAGATTACAATTGAAACTGCTCATTAAAACCTAATTTGTTTAAGCCAAGAAAGAAAAAAAGATGAGCTGAGTCCCAGAATCTGTCTTGGCTGAATTTCTCAATCTGTAAAATTGGCCAAGACAGCTAAAAAAGGTTCAAAGCAAACACTAAAGGCCGGTGCAGATGCTATTATGAACAGTACAATAGCTGTTGTGCCTTGTCAAGCGCTGGCCTTTTAATACACATAAAGAGCCATTGTGACAGTGTGACTCACCTGGTCTGTGCTTGGTGTGTCGGCGATGTCATTCATACTCCTGCTTTGAGCGTGGCCTACAGACACAAAAGCACAAATAAACAAAAGAATATTATTCCAAGTGTCCCATCAATAATGTCATAAATACTCACCGTAAAAACCTGACTAGCTATATAAAACAACTAATCTCTCACTGGACAGATTTCATTTCAAATGTTTCTACAGTCTGAAGTGATGATTAAAAACAAACCAAATCAAATCAAACCAAAAAACCTCTGATGTTTGAAAATGGCAACATTTGTGGCAAAAAATGACAAGAAATGAAAAGAATAAGCAAAAGTGTCGTTGTTTATGGTGTTATTAAAAGAATAGTTCACTCCAAAATGAAAATTCTGTCATCAATTGCTCACGCTTCACTTAATTAAAACTATTTGAGTTTTTTCTGTTGAACACAAAGAAAGATATTTAGAAAAATGCAGGTTACCCATTGACTTCCATAATATTTTGTTCCCCAATATAAAAGTCATGATGTCCCAGCATCAGCATTCTTCAAAATATCTTCTTTCATGTTCAATAGAAGAAACTTATTAAAACCACATAAGGAGGGAGAATAAATGATGAGGTCATTCTCAATTTGGAGCGCACTATCCCTTTAAGGTTGAACTTGATTAATTATTTGCTGTTAATGGCTGTTACGTGTGAGTTGGGAACAAGCCCAGAACTTGTTGTGTAAAAAGTTCAGAGGGTGAAATAGGGTAGAGGAGCTTTCAAGTATGATTCTTTGTTAATATTGGGGTGTGTATGGCATGGCTGTGGCTGACAACAACCCTTATATGTTATCAGATTTGTTTTAGCTTTAGTAAAAACAAATGAAAAAAGGAGAGAAGAAGATGACAATAAAAAGAGGTGCATAAACTCACGTAGTCTTCCATAGTTTGCTGCTTGTTTAGTGCGCAGATCTTCAGTAGAGCGGTTAAAATTTGCTGCCTGGGCAGCAGGGGTTCGGGCAGGACTCCGAGCTACGAGAGGCAAAGAACATTACAATTTTTTAGAATAATAATAATAATAATAATAATAATAATAATAATAATAATAATAATAATAATAATAATGAACTTTATTTGTATATAGCGCCTTTAAAAGTAGCATCTCAATGCAATTTACAGACATAAACTGTGCAGCAGTAAAAGACCACATAGATGAATGCAAAAAAAACAATAATAAAAAATTATTAAAAACTGTGAGGAAACAAAAGAATAGAATAGAATTATCCTTTATTCTTTATTAGAAATATGTTGTGTATAAAGTTATGTTAAATCATTAGCAGTACAGTCATTCTTTACTCTGTATTGAAAATATTTTGTATGCTCTGCCAAATAATATGTTAACCAAAACTGTTCTTGGAGTAGGATATGTGTTGCATACTAATGAAGCATTTTGTAGAGGGAGCTGTCTTGTACAAGAAAGAGGCAGCAGAAACAATAGAAATAGCGTGTTTTCTCTCGCTTCTAAATTCCTGTGTAACCATTTATGAAAACATATTGGGGCCTATGGAAGCCTCAAAGCATGTGCATTAAACTGTTCAGTTCTTCTGTGCAGGACAGGGGACAGTGGAAAAAAAGCTGAAAGGAAGATAACCCGCCTTCTTTTCTGTGATTACAAAATGGGTCTCTAGTCCCAAGGAACACACGCAGAGCGCCTCATGTAACTAATAGGACATATTTGTACGAACCAGGGCCCTAATCGAATTATAAATTTTACCTAATAAATTACCAACCCTTTCAACATTAATCTCCACCTCCTGATTTTGTATGGGAAAGGATTGGAATTTTAAAGCTATATTCTAACAAAATACATACAATAAATAATAGATGTAAAATCATTTATAAGTCAAATAAAGTCAAATAAAATCAAATAAAAGTGACTTTATAAATTAACTATTAATCTTGTTTTTCTAATAATTATATGCTAATGAACTGTGGTAAAACTGAGTATCTCATATTGTTATCTGCTGAGCACTTACGTAAACAATGTGAGTTGTGTACAGTTGTTTAAGCATCTAAGGGTAAAAAAAATTGTGAGCATAACGCATTGGCTGGAATAATGAGACATTTTATTTCCACCTTTATAGTCCAAAAGGTCCATTCAGGATAAGCTTACACTGTTAGCAATTTCCTGTAGAATCTACAGTAACTGTCTGGCAGCAAAACTTGAGCAAAAATACTGTAATACCATTTACAGCACCATTTGTCTTGCTGTATATTTATTTGAGTGTATGTTAACTGTAAAATATACAGTAATATTCGCAATGCAATTTTAAAATACAGTAACATACTGCATAACTGTCCTACAGTAAAATACATTTTATATTATAGTTAAATACTGTGTAATTTACTAAATTTGTTAACAGTTTAGGACTGTTGGTAATATATGTGAAGATGCATAACAGGTTTATATAAACAAATCATTTGCAGCATTAGTCCAATCTCCATCTGAATTTACTCTACTAACTAAACTACACAAATTAATAAATTGAGAATTGAATTACGCTAAATGGGAATTTAATTTTGCCAAAACTCTCTTTACATATTGCAAAACAGATATCATGTAATTCAAAAAATGAATATTTCATGAAACTTAAATAAAAAAAAAGGTATTAGCAGGTTTGACAGGCTGTCCTGGGAGTGAACCCTGAGCTCGAAGATAATTCCTTCTGGTCAATAAGCATATAAGGGGGTCCAAGATCAGGTAAGGTAGGTCTCGAGAGCTCCCCCTGGTAAACGGAGGTAAAGGAGGAGATGTGGTGGAAGAGGGGATTTTTTCTAAAACGAAGATAAGGCAGTAAGGCGAAATTGGTCTCAGTGTTGCCAACTATTTTCAATGAAAAGGCGCTTAGCTCTGCCCGAAAAGTAGCTAAATGTTGCTAGATTACGTCATAGGTCAATTTGCATATTACTGACGTCATCACCTCCAACAGTTTCTGTTTGTTTAACAGCCTATGGTTTATAAAGGGGTATTTATATTTGCACTATGCTTTATGTATGCATGTCAATTCAATTTTTATTTAAATGTATTACTGTTTAAATACAGTATATCAATATAGATGTGTAGCGTATTTGAAGTAATCTCTCACATGTAATAAACTCAGACAAGCTCCAAAACGGTTACTAAAATCTCTCTAGTTGTGAACAAGAAAAGGAAACACAGTCAAATTAAACTGTTAAATTTAAAACAAAGGAGAAACAGATCGTTTTGACTGTACAAGGAAAATACCTCACACTCACAGTGCTAAATCATTTGCTGTCATTATACAGAGGGCTGATCTGCTGTCAGGCTTCAGGTGAGAGAGATTGCTGTACAAAGACTGGGCCGCCTGTGAGTGCACAGAGGTGGGGGAAGGGCCGACGGCAACACCCGCAACTCGTTGAGAAGAGAAGGAACGGAATAGTATGGACACATGAGAGTCTATAAAAATCTCAAGAATTACCAAAAAAGTCACGAGTCGCTTTTTTGAAAGTTGGTCGCTAATGAAAAATCACTAAATATAGCAACAAAATCACTAAGTTGGCAACACTGATCGGCCTATTTATTGTAGGTTTGGATCAATCTGATTGAATTATTGTTGATTACAGATGTAAGACCAGTGATCAATCATATCACATGCTCCTCTCAAAATTAAACTGTGGTCACACTGCACTTTTCTCCCCATTGACTTCCATTCATCCGCATGCCAATGCGTTAGCCTGTAAATGCAAGCTCGTGCAACAAGTTTCACAGTTTGCTGCGCTGGAAAGTTCAAGCTTGGTGAACACTGACCTGCAAAATCACACTCGTGAGACCAATCAAAGATCAGAACATAACCTCTCTGGACAGAAATTTAAAATATGGAGCTTTTTTTCATGTCTAATAATCTTGTTTAATCCCACCCCTTTTCGCCAGGCTGTACAACAAAATTTCACATGCTCAAACTCTAGTGTGACCCCCGAATTAGTTTGTAAAACTTCACTTGTTTGAATTAACATTTTGAAAATACTGCAAGTTTTATGCAAATCTATAAAACCGAATGATGCTGACTGCAAATATGCAAATAATTGTTTACCCAAAGTTTAGGAGTGTAAAATGTTAATTGTTAATCCTGGGTAAATTATGCTGGGTAAAAAATGTTAATCCTTATCATACTTCACATTTTACAACAGGCATTATTTGACTAATGTAAACCATGAAGTAAGATAACCCAGGATTAATTTTACACAAGGTTTGGTGTAAAAAAAGCCATTTCCAAGGTTAACAGTTTGATGTGTGAATAGCCATTGACTTGTGCAATGTCCAGCAACGTTTATTTTCCAGTCTTTACTAAAAAAAAAAAAAACGAAAGTGAATGACAAGCAATGGCTGTCAAAAAGGACAAATACATTACCTCTGAAGCCATACAATCCGTGTGTGACAAATCCAAAGACTTTATTTTCTGAAAATCTTCTTTTCTAAAACCTTTTCAGAGCCTGATATCTACTTTGCTCCCATTGTATGGAAAAGATCATCCTGAAGGTTTTGATAATAAACTTTCTTTTTTGCAAGAGATTGAACAACATAAGGCTTGAGTACAAAATGACCACTTTTGAAACATCATTGTAAGACAAACAAGGAATTGGGTCAACTGGGTTCCAATATACTGAACAACTGATTGCTACAATTCCATTGCAGAGGTATAGATTAGTTCTTTATATATATATATATATATATATATATATATATATATATATATATATGTGTGTGGGTGTGGATGTGGGCGTGTGTGTGTGTGTATGTGTGTGCATACAGATGGAGAGACAGAAAAACATTTGAACACTCACTGCCTCCTGAACCAGACTTGCCCAAATCCGCAAGGGAGCGATGGATGGGCTTTTTGGTCTGGTGTCTGTGCTTTCTCAGCAGTACAAAGCTGATTTTGTCTCTCAATTCAGGACCGATCAACCCTTCCTCTACCTGACGATCGATGATGTCATCTACATGGAATAAAAGCAAAGTTAGTTTACCTTTATATGTTCAGCTGGATGACACAATAGGCATTATCATAAAAATAAACACATTCGAATGCACACTTCAGTATGCTAGACAATTTCTGTTTTATGTCCAGAAGCTTACCGACGATCTGTGGGAGCGAGTATCCCTCCAGGTCCAGCAGCACGGTGCCGGTCTGCAGGCATGTCCGCAGTTCAAACAGGCTGTGCAGGGACAGTGTGGAAACGTGTGGTTTGCTCCATCTTTCTCCACCCTCCTCAACTTTTTCCTCAAACTTCACCCACCTGCAGACATACACAGTCACACACACACTCAGTTGAAGTCAAGCTGAGAAAAAAGGATCTCAAAGTTTCTGATGTTGTTCAGATGCAGACACTGTTTATTCTAAGATGACATGTGTGAAAAAAATGGGCCAAAATTTGGTCATAAAATACATTTTATTTGCATCAGATATTCAGCCTTAGGCGGAAAAAAATGTTGCATTATATCCAACGATATAACTACATTTTTAAATATTTTAAATACACTTATATTATCTGATTCAATGTAAACAGTGTGAGATTTTAAAACATTTAAAATAAAACTCAAGCTTTAGCTGCATTTTTCCCCTGCTCTTTAAATATATAATACATGACAGGCCAAAAAAGGGATCTCATGTTCATTAAACATTTTTTACGATGACTATTTTGACTAAAAAAAGGATTACATAAATGTTTTTTTTTTTTATGATAAGAATTTGTACAAAAAATTAGTTAGCTAAAAGTTAGATGTGTTGCTTTCATCATGTTATATTTGTATTTATAAATTAGCTTTAAGATTCTGATCCATCCATCCATCCATCCATCCATCCATTCATCCATCTATCCATCTATCTATCTATCTATCTATCTATCTATCTATCTATCTATCTATCTATCTATCTATCTATCTATCTATCTATCTATCTATCTATCTATCTATCTATCTATCAGCAAACACAGAACCAAAGACAGAAGCAAATATACAATTTACTTAGGAAAAATTAATTATTTTGTATTAGTTTAAACTTCAGGAATTCTGATTAGGATATTTTTATTCTTTCATTAGAAACTGGCCACCAAAATTAACAACAAGGCTTTTAAAAGGGTTTTAGTTTTAGCGACAATAGATCTAAATGACAGATAATTAACCAATTGTCTTGAAAGTGCTACAAAGCCAAAAATCAACATACAATTGGCATACCAATATTTGTCAGAGCTGGTACATTTCCAATATATACACTCATACACTACCTGACAAAAGTCTTGTTGCCTTTCCAAGTTTTAGAAACAACAAATAATAACTTGAAGATTAACAAATCTTCTGGTGGATCAGTGTTCAGTGGCTTTTATGAAAGGTAAAGTGGCTTTTATGAAAGGCAAAGGCCTCTAGATTATGCTTATTTGACCAAAATAAAATATGATCATGCCTAGATTTTTAATTGTTTAATCAGGACAGTAAGATCTGACTTTGCTTAGACGTTGTATTTTCACTTAACGTAAATAATGTAGGCTACTGTATATAATATAAAGTCATGGTGCAGTGGTAAAAGAATTAATATTGTCTTAATTAATAGTGTCTTACTATCAGTCAATAGTTTAACAACAAGCCGGAAATGTTAATTGACCAATGGCATCACTACATTGAAATGGTCTATATAGGTGTGGTTGTGTGTGTGTGTGTGGTGTGTGTGTGTGTGTGTGTGGTGTGTGTGTGTGTGTGTGTGTGTGTGTGTGTGTGTGTGTGTGTGTGTGTGTGTGTGTGTGTGTGTGTGTGTGTGTGTTTATACCTCGCTGATTCTCTCCACTCCAGCTCGTCTCCCTCATGCTGCAATGTGTCCATCTCAGTAAAGAGAGTGGGTGTGGGCATGGTCTCCTCATCGTCCCCCAAAATATAGCGCAGCCGCTCAGCCGCCGGGGACACTGTGAGATGAATAAGACGAGAAGTGTTTGAAAACTCGTCTTGGATCAGGCTCAGTCAGACAGCAGAATGAGCTGATAAATAAAAAGGTGCTGCGGCACGCAGCACCACACACAATGAAAGCATTCGGCCAAAACCCGGAGAAGAAACAAGGAAGCCCGCAGTGTGTGTTTGATTCCGTGTTTTGATGGCTGTCTGCGTCTGAAGGAACACCTGCACAGTGTAAACTTTTGTTCATTCATTTTCTGGGGGAGCACTAAAGCTGTGATCTGTGAAGCTCAGGATACACACTGTGCTTGTTTTTCTGGACTTGTCTGAGGTGCTGCCAAGGAGCATGTGGCCACTTCTGAGTCTTTTTTTTCAGTTTTCATTCCTTCGCTTAAATTTCTTAACTTTAACACCTGTTAGGTACATTTCATTTCCCACTATAATTTGATCGTTATTAATTGTTTTGAGCTAAGGCTTCCTGGGGACTCAAAAACATGGCTCAAGAATACACGAGAAGAACAGACACTATAAAGACATCAAGATGCAAATTATATATTTACTGTATATATATATATATATATATATATATATATATATATATATATATATATATATATATATGAGAGAGAGAGAGAGAGAGAGAGAGAGAGAGAGAGAGAGAGAGAGAGAGAGAGAATTTGCATAATAAAATTCAATCTTTATTTAGGGGGTAGTTCACTCAAATTGTAAATTCTGTCATCATTTATTCAGATGGTTCCAAATGTGCTTTTTCTTTCTTTTGTTTAACAAAAAAAGAAGATACTTTGAAGAAAGCTGGAAACCTGTAACCATTGACTTCTATACCAGTGGCGTTGCAGGGGGGCTTTGGGGGCTTAAGCCCCTGATGTATTGTCAAAAGCCCCTGATCTCTTGGAATATGTTGCACTTAAATAAAAATATGTTGTATAACATTTATTTTTGTTATCTAAGTACTGAAAATTACCACATACATCACAAACATTCCACTTAACGCAGCGTTTGTGTCGGGTAATTAAATCGTCAGCTGTTTAGCAGTACCTGTTTCTACCGGCAGGTGGGAGTGGCTCTGTTGTCACATGGTGTTAAAAAATCCCGCCACTGCACTTCATTGATTCATTATTTTGAGAAGCTGAAGCTAATGAGGTAATATTACAACTCTTTCGCGAAACTGAATAGTTTTAACTACTGATGAAGCTTATTTGTTTTCACAGTATAAAATGTGTGTAGTTTTGGTGAAATAAAATAACTATAATCAGTAAAATGTGCATCATATCAATGTAAATACATGCGAGTTAGTCAAAAAAAACGTAAATTGTACTAGTTTTCTAGATATGATATAGATAGGCATATTTATAGAATATAGCAAGTCACATCTGATTCTGTAATAGTTAAATCACAGTGAGTTTATGCATCTAGCTTTTTATTGTATAGCTATATTCTAATGTAACATGCTGTCAGTTAGCATCAAAATTTAAATTGACTTTCTCATGAAAGTACCTTAAATGGTTGGAAGAACACACACAGTTGAGGTCTGAATTATTAGCCCCCGTTTATTTTTTTTCCCCAAATTCTGTTTAACGGAGAGAAGATTTTTTTTAGCACATTTCTAATCATATTAGTGTTAATAACTCAACTCTAATAACTGATTAATTTGATCTTTGCCATGATTACAGTAAATAATATTTGACTAGACATTTTTTAAGACACTTCTATATAGCTTAAAGTGACATTTAAAGGCAGGGTAGGGTAATTAGGCAAGTTATTGTATAGCGATGGTTTGTTCTGTAGACTATAGGAAAAAATATATCTTAAAGGGGCTGATAATTTTGACCCTAAAATGTTTTTTTTTAAATGTAAAACTGCTTTTATTCTAGCTGAAATAAAACAAATAAGACTTTCTTCAAAAATAAAATATTATCAGACATAGGTGAAATATTATCAGACATACTGTCATATTATCAGACATACAACTTCTTTGGGGCTAAGCCCCTTATCCCTTTCGACCCTAGCAACGCCCCTGTTCTATACTATTAATTTTTCCTACTATGGATGTTACATGCAGCGGCGCCGCTGGCTGGTGTCATGAGAAATCGAGTCCTCCCCTGACAATTGGGACCACCTACCCTGGGTGATCCTATTGGTTCACTGGAGTTGTAATAGGTATAGTTTGTAGCACCTGATGGTATATATACATATAAATGCGAAAATTTCCTTTAAATTTATGTAATTTAAAATAGCATTATAATGACAAAACTATTTTAAATTATGTATTTTGTATACTGATATACAACTAAAGGCATGTGTTGAAGCATGGACAATTGCTTTTTGGTGCTTTTATTTTAGCCTGCAACGTGCTTCCACTCATGTAAATAATGTTAAATATAAATACATAAAATATCAAAAAGAAATCATTATATGTTTACAAACGTTTCAATTATTTTAACTATGTATGTCTTTAACTTGTAGTTACCAATAATATTGTTACTAATATGATTAGTCTTGTTAAAATCTCAAGACTGGGAATTGAATATAAAAAGCACTTTTGATCAGGCATTCAACGCAGACGATTCATTGGGGTCCTAAGCGGACTCGATTTTTCACCACATCGGTATGGGCCCCATGACCACATTTTGTTGATGTCAAGGAGCAGGGGAAGGGGGTGGGTGATTGCTGTGGACAAAAGTGAAAAGCTGGCGGGGCAGGGGTCATGGACAAAAGTGAAGAGCAGGGGGGGCAGGGGTGGGTTGGTGCAAATATTCTTTCGTATACGAAAGTGAAGAGCTGGAAAAGGGTTGTCTACAGAAAAAAGTGAAAATCAGGAGTGTTGGGGTGTAGATGGGCGGGATTCTGATGGGCCCCAAAACGGCGTAAGCCGTTCTGCTGTGTTCACACCAGACAAGTAACATGCAAATAAATCACTCTATTTGCACATAAATAGACGCTTGAACATTTTGAGTTCACTCACTTTATTCACACGACAAATCTGCTTCATTCGCAAGTCAAATTCACTTCACAATAGGATTCGTGTAATATGCGGGGCTTCTGTCCACCCCGTGATTTTAGCCTCGTTGCTAAATGGCTAACATGGATTTTATTGAGAGAATAGCTGTGTTTATGTGCTTTATGAAGGCTGATAAACAGCGTTGATTCATTTGGAGCCGTGTCTGAGTCCACTAGATTCTTTCAGAGGTGCTCATAGCTCTGTGAGCTCATAAACTCCTCCAGAAATATATTATACTATACTAAAATCCTCCAGAAACTATGATGGAAGCTTTCAGCGGTGCTTCCGACTGAGCTGAGCCCAGTTTGATGAACTGTTGTCTGGTGTCGGCAAAAGGGTTTTCCCTCGGGACACCAACAACAGGGATTACATCATAATCACATCCCTACAAAAGAAGGCTCCTGATTGGTTAACGCGACACAAATGTCAGCTGAAGTTCAGGTTTTCCAACTCAAGCGATTTACTCAATACGCGGCACTTTATTTGCTCATTCTTCTATTCACATCTTTGCACTGACTAACATGTAACACACTCACGCTTGACGCTTCATCAGCATCTGGCGTGCTACATTTTCAAGATATTGTCTTCTGTGTTTTAAAAGAACAGACAAAAAAAAATTCATAAAGGTTTGGAACCACTTGAAAGTGAGAAAATTGTAAATTGGAAATAAATTACATTCGTGTCAATTTAAATGATCAAATCTCAATTCTGTGGAGTTTAATAAAAAAAAAAAAATCCAATGATAACATGCTTCTTTATGACATTATTTTGAATATCCTTATATGTTGAATATGTCCTTTCTGTTGTGGCATGTCTTATATATTATGACTTTAAAACAAAAACAATAAAAAGTTTTGGAATCACTTGTGGGTTAGTAAATGGAAAATAAATGGTCATTTTTGAGTAAACTACACCTTTAAAGTCGTTACACTATTTTTTTTTCCATTACTAAAAAAACACCAAAGCAGTCTTATACCTTTTGCTCATTACTGACATTATCACAAAAGTTTTCAACGATGTTTAACTTCAGAGAAATCTTTAGTTTTACCCTTGGCATGGAATAATATCTGAGTATTGAATAAATGCAGACACTAATTGTAGCGTCTAGCAAGCAGCTCCTTCATTATCATTAGCTGCAGCTTGTGTTGCCAAAAATAACTCATAAAACATAAAAAATGAACATCATTTAAAAGGGCAATTTACAAAGTTTTCAAGACAAAAGAAGCTGAAAACTTAAGTATCCAAGAGGTAGTGAGATCAAAACAAACGTATACCAGCTACTGATGTCAATCCTGTGGATGTTTAATTAGATGGATGAGTTTCTGGGATACCTGTTTATGATAAAGATGCTGATGAGGCTGTCTGCGATATGCAAAGTTATGCCACTGAGCTGATACATAGCATCATATTTTAACACGATAATGTATTTCTATGATTATTTTGACCATATAATGTGTTATGACACAATTTAGCTTGACAAATAAAAAGAGCTCAATGCACAGTAATTTAGCCTGTTGTTAATTCGTGTATATTTAAATGATCAAATCACAATGTTTACAAAACTTTTATTCATTTCCTCATTCAAGTCTTATCTGACTGATTTCATGATCAATGATTACATGCTGGCATCATAATTATTGTTTTCAATATGTCATGTAGCAGCAAAAATTACATGTTGTGCCTTTAAAAATGTCAACTTCCAGTTTATTACATGTGTAAAAGGAAGCATGTACAAAGACTACCTCCTATTAATACATACTTCACTTTAAAGGCATTCATTAATCCACTGGAGTTTCATGGCTAACTTTTATGATGGGTGAATGTGCTTTTTGGAGGTTCAAAAACACACTGCAATTACAAAGCTAGAAAAGCACAAGATCTCATAAAATATGACTCTGATTATGCTCATCTAAAAGAAGAAAAGCAATTATATCATGGATGGCTTAAGGGTGAGTAAATTATAGTATAATTTTCTTTTATGCATGAACCGTTACT